AAAATATAAATCTTTGTTTTACAGAGCAACACGTTATTCGAGTTATTTCCATACTATCCAACCTGATAGATAGATATAAACGTTACATATATATACATATATATACATATATATATACATATGAGATAATATTTTAAGTATATTATGTAGGTGTGCAGAGATACTTTTAATCCTTTGCATTAAAGGCAAAGCCTTTTTCACTGAAGCGAACTAGCAACTTTAGACAATTTTCTGTTTAAATGTGTTACGTCCGAAAACGCAATATGTTAGATTTAACTAACTAATGCCGGTTTGTGCCACTCTGTAAGCACCGAGTATAGCTAAGACCAGGTAGGTTCGCTTTTCCCAAAAATTAAAGAACAATAAAAGTGGCAAAATAATATTCCAATACAAATAATTGATAGGAGGAATAAGGAGGAATTTGGAGGATTCTTAAGTGTGATGGTCAAAGTCTGTTCACCGTTGCTCTGGTTCACAAGTTGATTTAATATTTGGAAACATTATCTTACAGTTTCGTAAATGTACAATAATAAATTCCTAAATCCAACAAATGCTTACTCTTTAAGATTAATACGCAATTAACAAATTTAGGAAATTCTTCCATTGCTTCGTAATTGGTTCAATATTTCCAAATTCACTTGGTATTAGTGATGGCACTCAAACACACTAGTACACACACTTTAAGATACAGACTTATAACAATTCAGACAACAATCACTTCTTACAAAGTTACAACTAATTAATAATTGTAAAGGGAAAAAAAAACACAGAACAGAAAGAGAGATATTGATATGATGAATGAAGGAATGATCTCTTTCCTTATTCTATAAAGAGCTAAAAGGGCCCTATTATAAATAAAGGGTGAAAGATAAAGTTGTCAGGATTAACACTAAGAACACACATATATTTAATTTTCCATAAATTCAATTAACGTAAAGTTTTCACCATAGCATAAGAGAACTTAAACATAAAACATAAACGATATAATTCACAATTACATAAAAGGGCTTAATCCACAACACGTAAAAATACTTAAATTGAGACCACATAAAATCACATAAAACCACATAGGACTGACAAGACGAAATTCAGACTTTCATAACGAACTCCTACACAAAAACAATAACTGTCTCTCGGTCTTTTCCGCCTACATCTCCTCCCCACAACATTCCTATTTTCCTTCCCGAAACTCCCTGACCATTCCCGATCGCCAGACTTTCTAATTCCTTCTCCTTCCTACCGGTTTGGGAATGCTCCAAAAGCTTCGGCGCGATTAGCGATAAGGCGGCGATGTCTTTTCAAACAAAATCTATTCGACGATCGCACTCTTTTGTTCTCGTCGATCGTCGGCCGGTCTTTTATATTGTATATATATATCCTACATCTATTCAAAACTAATATTATATCTTAAAATATTCCTTACATAATGGAGAGCGACAAAAAGCAATGAATGATTTATATAAAATTAAAATAAATTAAGACATCCAAACTCACAAAAACTAAGACTTTCAAGAACAAAGATTCGAATTAAAACCAGACTCAAAAATCAACTAAGACTAAGAATTACAAAAACTTAAGACTCAGACTAATGTCCAGACAAACTCAAAAATTAAGACTAAGACTAAGACTAACGTGCAAGAAATAGGGAGGAGGTTTCCCGGTATATCGCGTAATGGAAAAATACTAAGAAAGATTGAGCATCGTTAAGGAAAAAATAATTTTCCAAAAATTATAAGTGTGGCGGAACGTCACAAATGACATATTTAAGATTAAAGATTTGCAACTGCATTGCACGCATGTATTGTTGAAGGGATTCATGAAACAGTATTGCCCAAATAAAACTTAAATAAACATCGTTACCGTTCGAATGAATGTGTTAAACCGAATGCTGACCTAGAGTAACTTCTCGAATGCAAAGGGTTAATATAACCACGGAAATATGTCCTTTATTAGGACGCCTTAAATGATTGCTTTATAAAATATACACGCATTTTTGAAAGCAAACACACACACATAAATATATATGTATAAAATATGAAATATAATTATTAAAAACAATTAAAAGAAAAATATGAAAGCAGAGCATGTAGACACACACAGGCTTAATTTTGTTCATATTATTATTTCTTTAAAAAAGATAGTTCGTCGTAGTTAAGAAAATGTTTATCTTGACCACCGTCTTCCAAATGATTATCGGCAGATATTCGTCTTCCAGAAGGGCCATATTCCTCCTCACCTAATCTTCTATATGTCTCTACTCTGTTTTCCAATATTTCTTTGATGATTACTAAAAGGAATAAAAAAACATGACAATAATCAATTCAATCAATAATCCATGATTATTTCCACCGAATTGGAATCCTTCCAAAATTTCATTTACCCATTAGCAACTCTCTGCTTTCGATCATGTTACCCATCTCCTTTTTAACTTCCTTCATCAACCATGGCATAAAACCTTCCTCGACATCTAAGAATTTGTTTTATTATTATTAATTTAATGACGAATGATTTTTTCAAATGCATATACTTTGAAATTCATGTACCTGCTTTGATCTCATCTAAAAGGAATCCAGACATTTTTAAACCTTCTAAAACAGCCGGCAAAAGTTCAGCGATATATCCTGTCAATAAAACAGCAGCAGCGACACGATCTTCTGTTTCTTGTTGAATTTTCACTGCTTCTTCGTGCTGTTTCAAGCAAAAATCCTGAAGACAGAAAATACATACACACCTCGTATAACAGTTGAATAAGATCTAATTAAATTGGTCTACTAATCATTCAATATAAAAACCGAATGCTACGTATATAGGTAATAACTATTTGACTTATTTTAACGAACAAGCTATAGGTATAAATAGTCTTGATCGTTAATGAAATAACACATTTAAATGAATATTTTCTAACCTTTTCTTCTCGAAGTCTTCTCTCTTGTTCTTTCAATCTGTTTGCTTCGGCTCTCTCAGCAGCTCGTAATTCTCGGAATCTTCTTTGTTGTTCTCGTAAAGCTGCCACTTCTTCTTCCTCTAAGACCTCGATCAAAGCTTGCTCAATAGTCTTACCAACGATTACTTCGACAATTGGCTGTATTTCAAGATCGAAGTCGAATAGCTGTAAAACATAATCATTCTGTCAAAAATCTTCGTAGATATATACGAAAAACGGAATTGATTTACTTTATGTACATCACGTATAAGTTTCTGCGAAAAGTTAGATAATTTTTCAAGGGAATAAAAACATTGGTCAAAAAGACTTACGTCTCCTGGTTCAATTTGTGTCGAGACATCCTCACCGGTTTTTACAAGACAGTACTTCGGCGTAGGTGGCCTGTCCAGGAAGTAATCGGTTTGTGTGCCAACCTCGAGTTCATCAGGTTTCTCGAACAACTATAATTTAAAAAGGAAAAAGTTCCTTATTTCTAATAAAAACTATAATTTTTGGAAAAATCATTTAAATAATTGGCTAAACAAAATTAAATGCTTGACTTTTCGGCAAAAAAATTGTGATATTCGGATTGAGCGGATAAAAATACATAAAAAAAAGTTTAGCTTCATCCATCGAGCTCTAAATTTAACGAAAATATAATACCGTATCGAAATAAACAAATTTTGAATGCGTTTTTCTCGAAACTATGTTTGTCAAGTCGCGGTGACCACTATAATTCAATAACCATTTGATGGATTTTGAAAAACTAGTCCTTTATGGAAGGATTTACGTTTATGTAAAAAATTTCGATTTTTTAACAATTATTTTTAACCCTTTCGCTACGAGCGTCGCCTATAGGCGACATCCGCGCGCCGTCCTGTGTGTACGAGCATCGCCTATAGGCGACATCCGTGCGACGTCCTGTGTGTACGAGCGTCGCCTATAGGCGACATCATCTACCTGTTAAAATGCTCAACTAAATAAAAATAGTTTCTGTAAAAATAAAATATTGTTTTTCTTTTAATCAAGGTTCACTATTTTTGACAATAAATAAAAAAACAGTGTACCATAAGCATCAAGATTCGATATAAAAATGCCGCSMTTATACGCCGATATATATATAGATATACAGAACGCTCGACACTCGATCGTCAAAACCAGGGCTTCTTAAACTTTTGTCATTCACGACCCCATTTATGATTGTGAGTTTCTTGACGACCCCATTTATGATTGCGAGTTTCTTGACGACCCCATACAAATATTACTGCTGTCGGTGGAGATAGCTCAAAACCTTCAACAAATGCACGTGTCTAGACGCTGCAAGTCCACTGTATTCCTCCAACTCTAGTGATGTTATAAAATGGTATATATAAATATTTGACATTAAAATCTCTCGCGACCCCATTTGGGGTCGCGACCCATAGTTTAAGAAGCCCTGGTCAAAACGAAAAATTCTCGCTGCAGAAGAAAAAAATTAGAAAGAGAAAAATATCGGTTTCTTGTCTCATTCGCACTCGTATACAAAACGCTCGACACTCGATGGCTAAGACGAAAAATTCTCGCTACAGCATGAAAAAATATCAGAAATATATAATAAAGAACTCTCAACAAAATCGATGACCCGCATAAAAATACTCGCTATCGCCTAAACAAATAGAAAGAGAGAAATATCCATTTCTTTTCTCACTCGCACTCGTATTCACGACCGAGAGACCCCAAGATAACGCATACTAGCTCGCTCGCCTGTAAAGACCAACGAAGGCCCCTTGCCCCCCCTTACAATTACTTTTCACCTTCATTTTCTCGCTTATTTTTGCAAATACGAAGATACACTTTAGAACATTTTTTATGTATTTTTCAATTCTCTACAACTTTTGTTTAAAACTTTTTTCGATTTAATGCCTAGATTCTAAGATATGGCTTTTTTACCCTTTTTAACCCTTTTTCTCAAAGATCTCCTGATCCAATTGCAAAAAAATTAGCACCATTCGATTCAGCGTCGTCGATGTACCATTATATCAAGTTTTTGGCCAAGAAACACAATTAGCTCAGTTTTTCTTTAGTTGACCGGAGAGACATTTTTCGGCGCAGGGTTCCGTTCAGTGCCGCTACTCTGGCGGCACGGTGGTCCGTACAGCAGCGTCACTCCGACGGAGCACACTCCCGTAGCGAAAGGGTTAAGAATTATTTTTAACAACAAAAAATTCATGATTCTTTTATCGAAAATCGAAAAAAAACAGAAGCCGCCATTTTTTAAATTTTCAAAAAAAAAAGAAAAAAGCTTCGATGAAAGACATGATTTATTATTAAATTAATGATATATATTTCTTTTTGTTTTTTTTTTTGGATGATCCAGTAAGATGTTCTGATGGTCACCGCGAAGCACTACTTGCGAAACGGCGAAGCCCCGCCCGACAAAAAAAGAATAGCGACATTTTAATAAATAATTAATATTTTTGTTAGAAATATTTTATAAGAGTCACAAGTGTTGAAACATAATATAAAAACTCTGTGTAATCAGTTTTATAAAACAAGCTTCATTATGTTATAAAAAAGAAATTATCAAAAATTGTTTGTTCACGCTTCTGACTGCATCTCCCCTCTTAACTATTGCTATATATCAATATAATAAAATAAAATTTTCTTCTTCAAACTTACTTCTTCGAGATAAAACTCAGTTTGGACGGGTTCGTGCTTGCGGCCAGGGATTGCCGGTGGCGATCCCGATCTTATGACTCTACAAATTTGTGCTTGCGCCCTTTTTCTTGCTAAATGCCTTCTTCTCGCTTCCGCTTGCCTTGCCGCTATCGATTGCTCACCATCGATCTACAAAAACGACATTACGACATTAAAAAAAAAAAAAACTGTCAACGAAGAATTTGAAGAAAAACTTCCTTCTTGACAATGAAATATGAATTATAATACTTACGAGGGCAGGTGGAGGGGCTGCGAAAGTACTTCCACGTATTACTCGGCGATCGTACATGATATTTCCAAAAGGGACCGTTTGATCACTGCAAAATATGACGCACGAATCATAGATTGCCGAATATAATGATTAAATGAATTTTTATCTATTTATTTATTATGATGCAGTATTGTACTTAAGGCCATTCTAGGATTTTCAAAAAGTCGAATTTTGTGTTATTGTTTTAAATGCTCCCTTGAGATCTCAAAAATTCGGCCAAAAATCAATATATTAAACAAATCCCATGTACTTCTCTAGCTGTTTGTTATGTACAATAAAGAAAAATGTATTGACTCGTCATAGTTGAAAATTTACAGTAATCGTTGGTACGGCCGTTGGACATCTCTAAAATAGAGAAGTCATCTGAGAAACGCTGCACATAGCCGCCATTTTTCAATAAATTATTCTGTAAAAATTACGTTTCTCGCACAATCAATCATATTTACAATAAACTTCTACTCCTTTGTAAACTCGATTTATTTAATATTTTTCCTGAACAAAAAAAATCACGGGAAAGCCTATTTTTCGGCCTCTAAAGTGGCCTAACCCCATTAGAAGACTCTAATGATATATGTTATATTTTATAATTCAATGAAGGGTATGCAATCGCTTGTAATAACCGCCAGAAAATTGTCTTATTTTCCACAGATAATTAAATAGTAAATTATATGTGATAATATATTATAATATATTATACTAGGTGTCCAAAAAAGTTGGGAACAAACTCATAGATTTAGGGGCAACATTCGACGAATGGGGAAGTCTGCATTCTTGCAGAAGAAAGAATTTTCCAAACAATTCTCATAACTGCCACAATGAATCATGAATATTTTTAAAAGCATATATCTTTTCAATAAATTGTTTTTTTACATAAATTTATATGAACTTTTTTTTCATCTATTTGAATTTATTCATACTTAAGTATAAGTTTGTACCCAACCTTATTGGACACACTATAGAGGTATAATATATATTAGGTATAGCAATTAATTCGGGGGTGCTCTTATAACAAATTTAGTATTTATTTATAAAGAGTAATCATACATTGGTTATCTTTCATTGTGACGAAATGAATTTAATTTCGAAGCACACCGAATTCATTGTAACATTTACCTAATAATAATGTAGCATACGAAAAAAGATCAGAAATAATCATTATAAAAATTTAAATTTATTAAAATTAAACGTAAATCGAAAGACAAGCTTATTATAAAGCAATTATTAAAATTGTTTCTTATATTCTTGAAATATTCGAAAAAGCAAATTTCTATCTTTCTTTTTCTCTTTTTTGCACTTATTTTTCTTTTCTACAGGCAATCGACGAATAGGCCAATTGTGTTCCGACTATATCGTGCCGCATAGTAACACGAGCGTGCTGCCTACGAATCATTCAAATCGTTAACGTGATAGATAAGAATCGGTAAAAATAAAAAACATGTTTAGAGCGGTTCTGAAGGCAAAAAATGCGTTTCATTCTGAGAAATGATGAAAATTCTTATAATTATTGTTAATGAACTATTTGATTAACAGTCATAACGTTGCGCATTTTAATTCATAAAATGTATCTATATTCGGATATCGACGATCAGTAATAAAAGAAAGAAAAAGGAAAAAATGGAAAATAGAGTCCGAGAAAAGGGAATGAGAAAGAGAAAGAGAAAGAGAAAGAGAAAGAGAAAGAGAAAGAGAAAGAGAAAGAGAAAGGAAAAGGGAAGTGAAAGTGAAAGAGAAAGAGAAAAAGAAAGAGAAAGAGAAAGAGAAAGAGAAAGAGAAAGAGAAAGAGAAAGAGAAAGATCGGTTACCAGCCGCGAAGGCCAGGCAGCTTATTCAGCATCGTGCCCTTGATCGGTTCCAACTTTTTCGGTAAACCTTGCGGCGTCATCAGTAATCTGCGAGAAAGAAAAAAAAACAAATCGCGCTCTTATGGGCTGTTATTACCTTGATTCGCCCTTAGGAAAAAATAAAGCTTTCATATAAATTTATAAGGGGGAAGGATTTGAAAATAGCAAAATACAAATAATGAAGTTATTTAGGGGAGAAGAGAAAAAAAGAAGAAAAGAAAGGGCTACTTCGCCGAACTTACAGGCCGTCGTTCACTCTGATGGAAAACTTCCTGTTGTTGTTTCTCCTAGCACGTTGCTCGGAACAAGAATAGAAAGCTAGGGTAGTTGCGTTGGTCTTGTCAAGTGCAAAATTAACGGTGGCCTTGATGGCTGCCGCCGCAGCCGCAGCCGCTTGACATCTCGCCTTGTGTTTGCTATGACGTACTTCTGGTTTCTTGCCGAACGACACTAGAGGTTTCAGTCTAGAACGGGAAGGACCTTGCCAATTGTCAGTTTCCTCGTTCTGAGAAATACCTCCTCCTATCGTTCCTCCAGCAATGACCGCAGGAGTGTTCGTGATCGGGCCAATGCCAAGAAGTGCTCCTACTTCCGGCGGTGGCATTAAAAACTCTCCGCACTTGACTGTCGTTATGAACGGTTTTCTTCGTCCTTGAAAAATCGACTCGTTCCTCTTGGAGTCGCGACACTTTTGCAAAGATTCCTCGTCTTCTTGAATTTTTCTCAACTTCGCGTTGAGTACCTCGTTGAAATCTTCGGTTGAAAGATGAATACTAGTTCTCTCGACATTTTCTATTACGTTATCTTTCCTTCGACGTTTGTCTTCATCCTCGAGACTGTTCTGACTCTTCGCATGTTGTTTTCTCCCTAATGGATTGATCTGATTACCTTGAAGACTCGCCAGAAACAAATGTTCGTTTGACTTGCAAATACGTCTGCGAGCATAAAGATCGTTCTTTACGTTTTCCACTCTGGTGGTAGTCAGTTTCGAAGCTGAATGCGTCTCTTCATCGTCGTTTACGTGTACAAGAGGTAACTTCGATTCTAAACTGTCCCTCTGAACAATCGTAAAACCTCCTGAATTTTTTCCTTCGCAATCAAATGATTCTACATTTGCGGTTGACGGCAACGTTGATGAAATTCCAGTTGGCATAGCGAGGAGATCTCGTTAATTTATGCTCTTCATCCTCGAGTCTCGACGTTCGAACAATGTAGTAGTATCCTTTCGGTGATCTTTAAGTTAAAAATAATCGATGTCCCGACGTCCCTTACAAATGTCGCAGGAATTCGATCATTTACAGACTGATCTTTATTTTTATTATTCATTAATTTGATGTATTATATGTAATATTCTCTGTGTATTTCTCCCTCTTCCTCTCTCTCTTACTCTCACTCTACTTACAAGAAGAAAAGCAAAAATTTCAAATAAAACAAGACATAATATAGATATCTATTGTGTATAAAATTGATTTCATAAGTTGTATCTCTCTCAAGTTTATTTATAATTCAAATATGTATATCAACTACCACGATGGTATTTTCTCTAGTTTCGTTAGTTTTCTTTTACTTTCTATAGAAAAAATGTCGACAAATTTTCTAGAAACACGAAAAAAGGAATAAAAGTATCTCAGCCGAGGTGGTTCGCACTAGACTGACTAACACGAAATCGTTCGTGAAAGTTCAGAGACTGGACAATGTCCTACAATCGAACGATCAATGGTAGGGGGATGTATACGTATACGTATATATATTGGTATGTATGCTCGGTGGCTACTCAATAACGCTGACCAGCTCTTAACATTGCGCATGCTTGAGAGGAATGAATGTACGTATACTAATACGCATATATACACGTAGTAAATACGCGTTAAAAGTTAACGATTAATTCTTGTGAGTTCTCTCGCTTTATTCGCGACTGACCTAAACGTAATCTTTGAACCTGCATCTCTACTTTCGCGTTACTTCAAGGTGAACCATGCCTATTTAATTTAATTTAAATAAAATCGTTAAATAGCCAACGGGGCCGAGCCATGTTAGATTACTATTGTAATTCCCTTTGGATCATCAAAGCCAAGCAGCAACCTCGGTACGATTAGTAAAATGGATGGGTGACCCGTTTAGAAACAACACACAGTGCTGTTGACACTTTGGTAATTTGTAGAAAAATGACTTGACGTCACTTGATTGTGTTTGGGAAATTACAAAAAACACAATAAAATGTAGATATACTTTTCGATAGAAACAAATTACTACACTTTATTTATACGTTTCTCGTTGAAATTTCGCGAAAATAAAATGATATATATTCTCATTGTGTAAGATTTCTTGTTTCTTTTGATCAGAATATCTGATTATAAGTTTCGCCGTCCGTCCTTGGTGAAAAAACATGAATTGTTCGTGCAGATGAGAAGAGCGATTACAACGTTAAGATTTTGCGATTTCTACCGTCTTTTATTACTCGTTTGGAAAAAAAAACCTTCCCTTTAACAATTCATCAATTTGTGCGATTTAGTTTCATCAATGATATATCATTCAGAGAAAATAGACGAATTATAAATATTTCAATATGAAGTAATGGTATATTAACCGACGGTATGATGGTCCCATCATACTTCGTCAATTTCGTGTCGAATAAAAAAGTAGGATCGATCTTCTAAATTATCCTTTTCTTCCTACGATTTCCGATTATTTTCTATATATTCGAATAAATATTTATTTTCCCCTTAAATAAAAAAATAAAGTTCTTCATATACTTGTGCATAAGAAGAGAAACGACAGATGATAAAATCATGCAGCTCGGCGGTCATTCCCCTTCTGTACGCGTCGTCGCTATTCCATAAGCCCATAAACTCTACGTATAGCATGATACGTATATATATATATATATTAGAATGTATATGTAACTACTCGATTCACGTCTAGGACCACAAATGTATACGGTGGTCGTAGTATTATCGATGTCCAGTACTTTTTCAGTTATCGATAATACTTTTTTCTTTTTTTCTTGCAATTTCCATGGTATTAAAAGCTAATAATGCATAAGCATACAATGAACATTTAACGTCTTTTACGAGATCCATACAGATATGAGAAAAAAAGTTAGTTTTCTTCGTGACACTTAACTAAATCGATATTTTACGCTCAGTACAACCTCACGAGGTCGAAGTTTGCATGGTAACACAACAACATCTTCAACTATTTCGTTAACGAAGTACACGTAAACGTACCAATGTTTTATGTATACCTATATATTTCTACTGCCTACCATCTACTATGACCCGTCTCTCTCTTCGCACACAAAAAATAACTCATCATATTTATATATTATATTATTAAATTAATTAAACCTATATATAGAGAGAGGAGAAATCTCCCCTCTTCATCGCAGGATCCCTTTATCGTCGCGTCTACAGTTCCTCCTTTTCTACGGACCCTTTTCTCCTCCCACCCTAACCCCACGAACTTTCTGAACCTAATCTTTATTATTTTCTTGTTTTATATGTTTGTTCTCCTTTCTTTTCTTTTTTTACTTTTAAATTTGTACTAATTTCTTAAGATACAGATTTTCGACCGTATTCTTTTTTCTACCGTATTCAAAGAGACATACTTATTGTTTGTTTTTTACTATTGTATTTGACACATATAACAGTCGATTTGTTGGAGTACATTTATATAACTTACGATTAGTTAAAGTTTGATTTTTTTTTTGTTTCATTTTTTGCCCGTAGATTGATTGATTGATTGATTGATTGATTGATTGATTGATTGATTGTCCATCGATTGTTTACGATTCATTCGCGAAACGTTTCTTTGGAATTCCTATCTATTATTACTCAAATGAATTATTGTTCGATGCATGCCTGCTGTAGATCGACGGATCGATGTTTAAAATGAATAATACAAAAAGTTGCTTATAAATTATAAGAATACGAAAAGAAAGTGTACTTACATCGGTGGATTTCTGTACTTTTTCTGCATGTGCAATATTGCTCTGGGACTTTTAACGAAAGTGTACGTTTGTTTCTTGTCCATACAGGGCTCATTTGGAATGTTGTACGCTGCCAATCCTTGATTGCAAACTCGACACTCTTCCATTCTTCTAATTGCCATATTTTATGTTGCTTTTTTCTTGTACGCTTCCTTCAAAAATATAATTTAATGAATTTCCAGCAACTCTTGATCCTCGAACAGAAACGATATTATCAAACTTCGTCGCGAAGCACGAACCAAAGATATACTCGACTCACTGGATTAACTATACGTTACCAAGGCAACGTAACTAATTATATTTACCTTTTGTCAATACTTTGCCAAATAAAAATGAGAATAGATCAATTTTAATAGCTATAGTGAATGCGATGTGGTAAAATATAAAAAAACAAAAATTGTATTATTACTTTTATTATATTATTTCAATATATTATTAAAAAAAACACAATTTCAATTGGATTTTCCTATTTCGAGATTGAAACAATCTTGAAGTATTAATTATATTTTAATATAGTGAGTCTTTATATGGAAACGTTATTTTAAGTGCAGAAATATTCAAATTAGTAAATAAATTATTGTAGACGTTATTTAAATGATCAATACTTAAATAGAGAGAATTTAACATTAAATACACACACACAATTGAAATTGTATTTTTATGTATTATTTAGCCTGTGTATTTTTTTTATATATTTGAAAAAAAACAAAAATTGATTTTACAGATTTCTTTTCCTTTATTCATTATCGACTGTTCATTTTGAACCGTTGTGAGTACCATCTAACGACAAGAGTCTACACCAAGTTGCGTTCTCAACTGCTAAATTTTTCTTTTTATGAAATCAAAATTATTTATGTATACTGTTAGAAAAGGTTCTATATTTCTCTTTAACTTCTATTAATGCATTTATATTGATACTTCATTAGCTTTTTATCGTAAGCATAGAATAATTTTCTTCATTGTACATTTTTTTATTTCAAGTATAATCGCCATACGTTAAAATCTTGTGCTCACTTTTTTAAATGACTCTATCCAATTGGCATCTGTAGCAACACATACATATATATAATACAAAATTTGGAGAAAAAACATAAAATGACTACGCAATTGACAATTGTTTACAAAAGTTAATTGAAAAATTCGATATAGAAGACTTATTGCTTGTTAAGATGAAAATGCTGAGCAGCAGCGATCATTTGACACTTTTGTAATTCTATCTTTTGTTCTTTTAATTTCAACAATCTTTTTTTCATTTCCAACTCGTTTTGGCGCATAGTCATTTCCTCTTGATGTCGTCTCTCTTTGTTTCGTTCAGCCAATGCAAAGTTCTTTTCCATTTCGTCGAGAAACCTTTGAAATAGCGTCGTCAAAGTAATCTTGCATTCTAAATGTTCGCTATGTTTTTCCGGTACAGCGTCCGATACTAATGTAGCTAATGGATCACAATGTTCATTATTATTAGAATTTGAAGAACTTGTGGTTTGTTCCGACGTTGCTCTTGAAACAATCATCGAATATTTAATTGTTTCTGTCGGCGATGGAAAATCGTTTTCTTCCATATATACGTGTCTCTCTTTTTCGTTAAATATCTCATCGAGGGCTCTCTTATGTTCCCAATGGCCATAATGTCTCATTCTTCCAGGCTTTTTCAATCGTTCCCGGAAAATTAAGTTTTTGTACTTGCGTTCTAAAACACGCCATTTGTTCTCACACTTCTGTGGACTAAAATAAAAGCCGTAATTTTGCATTTCCAGAGATATCATTTCAAACATTTCTCGTAAACTTCTAATCCGCATCGACTGTCCGACCATCGACCGATACTTTTTATATTGACTAATGAGACAGGTGGTAGCCTTGCTAGTCCAGAGATTTAAAGCACCAACGTCCACAGTAGTAGAGGGTATCGTACCGTTGCCTTCGATACTGGACAAACTATTTTCATGTTCTTCCTCGACGTAATATTGCACTGCTGGCTCTATTTTAATTTCCATTTGATTTCCATCAATAATGTTCGGACCTTAATGATGAAATTAATAAGACAATCAGTCATATTAAAATAATATAAACAACGAGATTTGTGTGTTAGAAATTTGTTGATAAAGATGAAGTATCAAGGAAATTAAGTTAACAACAGCGGATTTACTCACCTCCCTGTTCTTTCTCGTCGTTTGCCATTTCTATACATCAAATTATATATAACCTTCACGAAACTTTGCACTCCTCCGAGAGAGATTCCATACACGAATACGACTTGTGTTCAAGTCGTATGAGACGGGATCTTTCATGTGGAGTGGTGGGGAGGGGTGTGGGGGAAAGAGCCGAAAACCCGAAGAAAACTAGTTCCAAACCGGTTTCACTCGTAGAATTGGTTCCGTACACGTCGATAAACAAGGCTCCGAGCGGTGGCCATTTTGTTTTCGCATTTGTTATTTTATTCCAAGTTAATTGACCAGACTTATCATATGAACGTATAATTAGATATTTTTACTATTCAGCATCGAAGAAAAAACTTCGATCTACGTCGTTGTTATTCCATTTTATTCCACGTTTTTATGTTAAGCACGCGTTAAGAATTAATGCTAAATAGTCGTATTCGGTATTTGCTGCAATGATGAAAAATCAACAGAAATAATTAATATAATAAATTCTATTAGCTGTTTAAATACCACCAGTCCTCCATTCATACTAATGAATAACGATTTCAACGAATTTCCAGTTTTTAAACGAGAAAATTGTGCGTCCAATTGGTCATCCATAGTTTTGGGTCATCGTAGATATTACCGTATATATTTATACCGGCATAGTGGGAAACCCGGCAATGCTAGCAATACCCCCCCCCACCCGGGCATTGTCCACAATGCATAGCATCATTTTTGACTAAGTCGGAAATGTATTCATATGAATATCGGTCTAAACGTAATAAAATCTTCTCCTACGATACGTAACAGTGGGCCCTACATAATAACACACCAGCATTGACTAAGTTTCAGTTTATAGAGATATGCATACGTATAGCGACACGCACAGTCTCAACACCCAACCAAGCTCGCTTTTGTGTATGTGTGTGGAAGCGGGTTGTGGGTTGTTTGTTGGGTGGCTGGGTGGCTGGGGGGGGTAGAAGGGGGGCAGCGGGTTACGTATGTCTGTGTGTGCCCGTTGCCCGATAATGTATTTTTTTGAATATTGCCTAAGTAACATTTGGTGTTCTATAAAATGCCTAAGTATCAGGTCAGTCCAAAAGTTCGTGCGCATTTAGCTCGTATGGTACTCACTTTCCAAGCTTGGATACTTTTCTAATCACCTTTAAATGGCGAAAGACTGTCCCATGACATGAATGTATCTTTTCTGCGATCTGATCCACTGTTAAATGTGGCTCTAATTCCACAAGATTTTTAAGAACGTCGTTATCAAAATCGACATACATGCTAGTAATGCACACGAACTTTTGGACTGACCTGATATTAGGTTCAATGCTTAGGAAAAGTCTGTAGAAATTCTTCTGTTTCCGATTTTGTCAAAAGGCGCTTTGCATTGCGGACGATGCCGGGGTATTGCTAACATTGTCGGATTTCCCACTATGCCGGTATATATATATATATATATATACACATACGTTACGATGCTACAATTTGTGGTATTTATTGCGAAAGAAATGTAATTCCATTAGGCATTCTTGTTAAACTGAAAGATTCGTTGCGACGATGTGATTGATGACAATTAGATTGTTTTACGCTAATATAACAAAATGATACTTATTTGCTCCTCGCTATTAACACATTATATTACTTATCACATCTATTGTTTTGCATATACACCGAATCTCACTGTCAAACAAAGTAATATTTGAGTCACTAACGGATAAAGTGCAAGATAACAATTATTAGTGTCATTGTTAAAACTATACATGCACTTTTTAAGCTATGTACAGATAACGGTAGACGCGACGTAGTTTCAGTTATGCAACTGCAAAATAGACATGGAATATATTTACTACTAACAATAAAAAAAAAAAGGCTAGACAATATATAAACAATATATGAAATTTATTGTTAAAAATATGTATTTAGTGGAAACAGTTTGTTCGCATCGTCGCAAAAGGCACATAGTTTGAATTGTTATTCAAAAAAGGAAGATTAATTTAAAAGAAACATACATAGACACAAGTATTTGAGGTAAATTTGACAATAAATATCATTGCAAGCGGTATGAATCGATCCTAAGGTTCTCGCGGTGGTCGTTCAATGGGGAGGAAGTGAGGGCGTAGAGAGGAGAGAACGCTAAAGGGTGGTGGAACAGGAGAAAGAAGAGGAGGAGTAAAAGGGTTCTCGCGTGTTACGAGTGAGAGGCGATCGTTCGTCGACGGATGCAGAGAGAGAGAGAGAGAGAGAGAGAGAGAGAGAGAGAGAGAGAGAGAGAGAGAGCTCGTTTGCTTTTTATTGCTTGTTGCGTGTGTGTGCGTACTGTATCAAGGTAACGTGTGCGCAAGCAGTGAGTGTTGCGTCTCTCGGTGTTACTGCTGGCTTCCTAGCAGCCATCATCATCGTCGTCGTTGTCCCCGTAGCAACGACAGATAAAACGGCTTTCTCGATGCATCGGGCAAGACGTTCGCGTGTACGTCGCGTGTACGTTCGTCGTCGTCGAACGCGACGTTTCTTTGACTTGGCCGCGTTAAGAGTATGGCAATAGCTAAAGAGCTATCGTTAAAGAAAGAAAAACAAAAAGGGTAGTAAGGTAAGGAAGGAAAAAATAAATTGTCGCTTGTTCATTTCAATTGATCTCATGAAAAAAAAAAAGTAACGAAAGAGTGGGGTTGGTGGTTGTCTTCCCCTCCTTTTTTCCGGCTAAAGTGGAGTCTTTCCACGAAAGCGATCGATTATCCAGTGATCGCGAGGCTCCGATTCGCAGCAGGCGTTGTCGCGGCGTGAGAGGCGAATCCAGTCGCGCCATTGGCTCGCTTCTCCTTGGTGTAGTAGCAACGGCCAACGGCAATAGCAGCGTTAAATACCAAATACCAAAATTAAGTAATTGTTAAAAAAACCAAAGTTTCGCGCTTCCGAATTCGTGTTCCGATTGTCATCGCGGTGCGTCAAAGTGACTTTTTTCAAGTTTCAGAGTGGGAGGACAGGTCTGTCTCGAGCGCGTTTGAGAACGCGTGTCGTCCAAGATGGCTACCGCCGGCAACGCGTCGTCGGCCGGCGGCGAATCGAATGCTGCCGATAGTAGTAACGTTCCTCAATGGAAAAGAGATCTGATATTACGGCGAAGACAACAAAATAAAGTTCTCTTATCGAGCAACGGAGCAAACGTTAAATTCTTATCAACGGAGGGCGTTGATGTCTCGGTAGTAGTTTGTCGTCAAGAACAACGTCAGGATACGTCATCGACGACGACGACGACAACGAGAATGAAGACGGTAACAACTACTACTACTACTAATACTACACGCGAGGAAGAAAAATCCCGTAGTGGCATTTACGAAACTGGTACTATTATTCTTGCTGATGCTGCTAGTGGTGTTAGTAGTGGTGGTACTGAGGGCGGAATGGGCAGCCTTCCTATCCCCACTACAATGGGTTCACTCGTCGGTAGAGAGCTCGCTAGTGGCGCCAACCTTTTCTTTAGCACTAATAACTGCGAAAATGATTCAGTGGCGTACAACATGCGTCTCGAGGCGGATCTTTTGCTTTGCTCCGATTCGGAGGATGTAAATGGCAGTGGTAGTGGTGCTACTAGTGGTGGTTCGATTAAATCCACGGATATAGAAAGAAAAATGGAGCACGGCCAAGACGATTATGAGAGCGATGATAATATACTCGGGACGAGGAGGACACGCGACGTCGGCAATAACCTATTCGAAGAATTTCGTAGTAATACAACGAGCAGCACGGTCAGGGCCGCCTCCACCGCAGCCGCCGCCGACGCCGAAAGCGATAGCTCCGAGGAATTGCAGTACGGCCCTGGGATCGTGAATAAACTTAAAAGTAAATATCTTAATCTCGCTCTTAGGGAAACAAACAAAAGTCGAGCTACGGTACAACGTTTTCGACGTGCTGCTAGTTTGGAAGATTTACTCGATCGAGAGGAAGAATCGTCGACGAACGAGAAGAACGCGACTATTGTCGTTTCCGATAGAAAGTACGCTAAGAGAAACGTTGCCGGGCAAACGAGCAAGACAACCGGTGGTGACAGATATCGAAATGCTAGTCGCAGTAACGAGACGACGATGAAGCGTGCCAGGAGCGTCGAAACTCTTGTTAGGTATAATGTTAATTCCTCCTCGATCGATGATTCGAATCTTATCAAAACGAGCACTAACGCGAGGATCGCGTCTAGGCAGGAGGATCCCATTAACGATCACATTGTTCTCGTCGATAGGAGCACCGTCAAAATAGAAAGTCGACTGAGCGATATAGTAGATCGACCCAAGGCAACAAACAAACCGAAAAGAATCAAGCCAGTTTTGGCAGAAACTGAACGGCCTCCACCCGATCTAGTCAAGACGACAATGCGCATATTCGAAGGATCAGCGAAAAAGTTGAAGCCTAAGGGAGACGTCGCTGCTAAGGTAGCGACCTTTAAGACGATCAACGATACCTTCAAAGCGCAGAATCAAAAAAAGGTACTACCTAAACCACCGTTACAGCCTAAACCCTTTGCCAATGGTAATACTAGGACAAATACTATTACTAATTCCTCGTCGCCGAAGAAAATTATCTTGCCTCAAAAACCAACGGCAGAACTTATAGAGAAAGACGAGGAGTTTCATTTCGATGGTGTTATCACCGATCCTATAGTACAATCAGTTTCTTCTGTAGTGAGCAAGTTTCAGAAGATCGAAAAGTCTCACTCACCATCACCCTCGCCGGAGCCTACCTTCAACAAGCTTAGGTATTCTCCAGCACCAAGTCCAGAACCTCAAAATAGGTCAAAACTTTGTGCTCTCGAGATAGGTATTAAATCTCCTCCTTTGACTCCTCTATTGTCACCAAGGATCTCTCCTCCAGCTGCTCAGAGTCCATCTTCGCCTATCAAAGATGCCAATATTCCTCTACTTCAAAGTTCCAGTCCGATTCGTAAGTCCAGTCCGATTAAAGAAAATTTGGAAACTAGTAAAATTATTCAAACACGTACTCGACAAGCTGAAAAAGAAATGATCTTGTCTACAAGACAAAGGTTACCAAGTCCTAAAAAAAGTCTAACCACCGACTCGTCAATTCCAAAGGATCTTTCTATTGAAGAGTTAGAACCGGAAATAATAGAAGTAGAAAGTCAGGAAGAAGCAGAAGCAGAAGTTGAGATAGAAGAAGAGGAGGAGAGTGAGGAGGGGGAGGAGAAGGAGGAAAAAGAAATAGAAATAGAAAAAAGCAAGGATGTGGAAGATGGGCCAAAAACAATTTCTTCCTCAGCTTTAGACAATATTAGCAAAGCTGGTACAACCATGCATTTTAGGTTCAAAGATGAATCCAACAGGGAGAAGAATTACTTGCCAGGTGTTAAACAATATGGAAGTCGAAAAGTCGAGGAAAAAGCAACGAGTGTTGTATTGAAGGCTAATACCTGTGATATCAAAACTGCTGGAACTCTTCGGGATCAGGAAATAGCTTCGAGACTTTTTCGTGAGAAATTAGCTATAGATAAGGATGAAAAGAAAAAGAATGAGGGCAATGATGAAATTGAGGAGAAGAAGAAGGCTGACAACAAACCTCCAAAGTCTGCTAGCTTAATCAGTTCTACCACTACGACGTCCTATTCTCAGGGTAATGAATCTAAAACGATAAGGTGTCAGAAAAGTGAATCGTCTCCACCCCAAAAACAAATTGGTATTATAAGACCGCTTGTGTCCACTAAAACTCAGCTTCCTCAGCAGAATCTAAGCAATCGCGAGTTAGAGAAAAATCTTATAAATCGTGTTAAGAGTATAGAACAACCAACAAAAGTCGTAGTTAGTTTGAAGAGTGCTGATGAGATACAGCCAACAAAAAAGTCAACTCCCACTGTTGGTACTGGTATTGGTACTTGTACTGGTACTGGTACTGGGACTGGTGGTGGTGGTGGTGGTGGTGGTTGTGGTGGTGGTGGGGGTCTTTGGGATGCCAAGCCATGGAATCAGCAGAACAACACAATGGTCTTCAATTTTAGCAACAGGAAAGACGTTCCTGATTATATAGAGAACGATGGCCTTATTATCAAAAGGAAACGCGAGAAGTCAAAGGTTTGTATATATTATTATTCATTATATATTATATTCAAATTCAAAATTTAAACTTTAAATATTTGCCAAACGATAAGTATTACGAAGAAAATTATAAGATGTACAATTTATTACATTCAACATTCTATTCTATAAATTATAGAAAATAGTTTTCAAGCATTTTTTGTCTTTGAAAGTGAACAAATATTTTTGTTATCATCGTGAATTATTCAATTTTCGATTGATTTCTTCTGTATTGTAATTTTACTTTTTTAAATTTTTCCCTAACGATAAATTTTGAATATAAAATATTAAACAATTATTTCGCTTTATATTCATACTTTCTAAATTTCTTTATTTCTTAATTATATGACTCACTAAAATTGAAGTTTAAATGTCACAGTATTTCGTCTGTCATCATAAAAATTAATAATTATAATAAGAACGTAAAATATTTTCACTTTCTTCTTTCACGATTCGTTATACTTCATCATCTCTAGTGTTTTGTGTTGTGTGTGTGTGTGTGTGTGTGTATGTGTGTGCACAAAGAATTTGAAACGACTCTATTCAAGATTCAAGGCACGATTTGTCGTGTCTTACGTTGTCCATTTCTAATATGATTGTGACTACGTTTTAAATACACCTTTCCCTCGATTTACATGGAAGATTGATTCCTTAGAATACCGTGTAAATGAAATCATGGTTTTCAATTCATTACAAATAGATATAAAAAAAACAAAAAACAATTTAAAAAGAAATCAGTTCACTTAAAAGTTATTGTATGTATAACAATCAACGCAAATTTAAACTGAACTATTCAAAATAAAAGATAAGCCATTTTTTTTGTTATCATTCGCGTTACAAGAAAAATTATAAAAACCTCGATAAAAACGTAGAATCCGCGTGACTATCATTCGTTTGATATTCAACGCGATTATTAGGTGTCTTTGTTGAAAGGCAAAATCGAGTTTTTTCATCGGTAAAAGAAAACTCTGTATTAGCATGTTGTTGTTACTTAACAACACGAGATTACGTCTTATTTATCCCGACGAGCAAGACGTTAATTAACCTTCTCAACACTGTAATAATTATGCAATTGCGCGCATTAAACTCTAGTGTATAAATATATATGTTTTGGTCGCGTCTCTTTTATCATAATCTTATGTAGCCTATTCAAGACGTTGAGAGAGAGAGAGACAAAAATAATGGGAAAATATTAATTGAGAATATCTAACTCTTAATTAACGATGGGCAAACAAAAAGTGAAAGTAAAATATTGACCTCTTTTTTGTTTCACTTATACATTCTTTTATCGTGTTGAAATAATAACGGAACGATAAGCATTTCCTTAACAGATATATTTTGATTGGTTATTTGCTTGAAATCGTAGAAAAAAAATTCATTATAAAAGACAAATTGATATCTTTCACTATTATCAACGGCCATGGCGCCGTTCCCGTTCGATCACTAATTGTAAGTCAAGCAGCACTGCGCACGGTTAGTACTTGGATGGGTGAACCGCTTTTTTTTAGGAATACCGTGTGCTGTTGACGCCAAGACACTCCACTTAGTTTAATACCTAGCTGGTCCCTCAAGCCCAGACAAAAGAGAGAGGGTTCGAGGGTGAGGCTAACAACCTACCCTCGGTAAAAACAATAAAGGGCTTCTCGGAAGTAGCAATAAAAAAAGCAATAATAACAGGACGAAGTCATAAAAAGAGGAAGAAGAAGAAGATAATATTACTACGTGTTCACTTATGGATCTTAAATTCTAAAATAGAATTTTGTCTTGTAATACTATATAATCACGGTTAATAAGGAAAAAATAATTCATTACGGATAGATAACACACATATATTTATGTATATTTAATGTTATTTTATTTATATACTATTAGCACAGAAGAATTATATTTGAAAGTGAAAAAAAGGAAGACGCGATACGTCGTCCCTCGAATGAAAGGCTTTTCGTGGCATTGCGTGTCACGTGCATCATCGTCTGTTGTGCATGATGAGTCACCTGGTAGTACGTTATCGATTAAAAATCAACTAGTAATGGAATGAAAAAACGTACGCTGGTATATTTATGCTATCGACCATCCAACTTATGTAAATATCTACTTAAAAAAATAATGTTCTCTATTTCCCTATTTTTTTTTTTGTTTCTTTCAAAGAGTAATGAGCATCACGATGGTAGTGGTCTCTCTCATAGCTTTGGCTGTGGTAATTGAATTTCCGCGCGGAGAAGAAATCCTTGACCCAATTTCTCTCGATAACCGTTACGGTATTCCACTATTGCTAAGTATTTCTTGCCGATCGAAATCGTCGTTTAGATCCAACCTGAAATGCGATACAACTACGTTTCTCCATGAACGTATTATTACGATCTAAATTCTACCCTACGAATTTATCATGTTTTTCTTTTCTATTTTTTTTTTTTATTATCTCATTGGTGGACTTTTTAGTTTATCTTATCGGTATACTCGGCCGATTATTATTTCTATCAAACTTTGGCAATATTCTTGATAACGAAATTTATATCTGTCAATAAGTAAATTTGTTATTTTTAAGGGGTTATTCCAGTATGAGCAATCATTTTTTTTCTACATGATTTGTTAACGATCATAAAAATATAATTATAGCCGAGGATATATAGACCGTTTATTTTGAAAGTAGTGTAAGTCCATTTTGTTTCGTGAAAATTAAAGGGGTTTCCCATATTGGTTAATTCAGAAATATTCATTAATTATATCAAGTTTGACAATGTTTCTATTAATTTATTTTATAATTAATTTTTATATACATTACTTTTAGGCTAATTTAACTAAAATAATGTATATTTACTGGCTGCAAATGGACTTACATCATTTTCAAAATTATTCAATTGTTAAAATCGTTTAATTTCAATTTTGAAAAATCAAATATCACTTAAAATATATTTCGTATTAATCCAATTTTTTTTCTTTTCATTTTTTGTTTTGTTTTTTTTTTTTTTCTTCAAAAAATGGACTTACACAGCTTTCAAAATAAACAATCTATATAACGTGTTACGGTGACTGCGAATAATAGCCGACGTTAAAGCGGGTTGGTTCCATTTTTCGTCGGATCCTACGAACAAGTTCTGACTTAGAAAATCATTGGACCGAATAAGCGAGCCAGGGACCATAAAAGAACGTTCCCAATTTCTTCCTTATTTATATGCTTCTCCAATAGATCATTTTGGTTATACCTATAAAGTAATAATAATAACGATAATAAAGAGTTGTGAGACAACGAAATAGTCAAAGATAAGGACAAAATGAATTGAACGATGATATGAAGCACGGGAAAAGCTAGAAGAGAACAAGCAGTGCCGTTGTGCCCTCGTCGTGCCAGCGTCGTGACATTCCAACACATACACACACACACACAACTATTACGCGAAATCCACATATATGGTTGTCCTAGAGCAACAGCTAGACCAAGTAAAGAGAGAGTGAGATCCGTTAGCGCCTTTCAGCCTCGCTCCTTAACTCAGCCTTCTAAGGAATATTACGTTCCAACGATCCTTTCACAAGCCTATCTTTTATCCATATCCTACTGCTTGTAATTTTTGGTATGTGGGGCAGACGACAGAAACACTGGGAGAATTCTTTTTTTTCTCGTCTTTTTTTTCTTTTTCTTTCTTTTTTCTTTCTTTCTCGTAACCTTAAAAAAAAATAAAATAAAATAAAATACTTTTTATCACTTATTCATACTTAAAATCAAATACTTGAGAGTTGTAGAATTTTATATAGGATTACGATTATATTTTGGAACGAGGGGAAGAACGAACTCGATACGGTAGGCTTCCCTCCGAGTATTTCACATTCGCGTCGCTTCGACGCTCGAGATGACACAAATAGATGTTTCCTGCATACGTGGAACCGGTCGCAATTCAGAAACAACTTTGAGTAGTCAATGATCTCTCTCTCTCTCTCTCTCTCTCTCTCTCTCTCTCTCTCTCTCTCTCTCTCTYTCTCTCTCTGGAGATTGAACTTTTTTATTTTGTAAAAAACTGAAAATTATCTATTATGCATTTATTATGGATTTTTGTAAGAGTAGTTTTGTATATTTCGAGCACATGTAAATTCTCGTAGTCGTATCATTTCTTATATATCCTTCCGTTTGTGTAATTTATGTATATACATACATTGTGTAATTTATGTTAAATGATAGAAAGGAGCGGAAAAAGTGTGTAAACGGACACGCATTTGTAAAAGTTAACATTCACATTGGATCGTTAAGGCAAGTTTCTTAGTTGTCTTTGTTGTTGGACTCACAGAAGAGGGTTCAAGGTCTACCTGCAACAGAGTGATACCCCCTTACGTCCTGGGAATTTCTCATGAAGTCAGGGACCCTGTACTCAGGTTCATTGCCGCTCCTTTAACTATTTCTAAAGAGAGGATATACTTATTTTTTCGTTACACTTATTTCACACTTACATTTTTATTCATATTTTAATTATTCAAATAATTACTCTCCAAAGTATATTATGTACCTATGTTAGATTTATTTGCATCTTTGAACTGAACTTAAGAGCAAATGTTACGACGTTGTTGCTGGCAGCACGAATATGGCCTCCATCTTTGCTCATCCGTTAACGTAGTTTTCAGTGTTACAACGCGTGACAAAAGAATCATTTTTTCTTTTTCTTTTTTTTCTTTTCTTTGCCTAAACGATATTAAAATACAATACACCAAGGAAACCTATAATATTCTCAGAAATAATCCAGGAGTTGGCTTACATATTCGCGAAACGAAATTCTCTAGCGATTTCTGATCGAAATCCGAAATCGAATCCGGCTCGAACGATTCCGGAAGTGGACCGGAAATTGATAACGTCCTTATCGTCGTGACGTCGACCAACGTATGTAGTTTCATTATGTGAAAACAATTTCCAATAATATATTTCAAACTGCGAACGTATTCAGATTTGACTATAAAGTAAGCTAATATGATAGTTAATATGTTATTATAATACAGTACCTGACCTAAGGTTTGCGTGTCAGAATTTATGGATTAAATTTCAAATATTTTTGTCTAGTTATTATTTGGTTATAAGAACAAAGTGGTCCCTCCTATAGAAAAATTCGCCAAATTGGTATTTTAGCGACATTAAAAAAAAACAAAAAAAAGAAGAAGAATTTTGACTTGTTAAGGAATCGAGCGAATCATCATGTAAATGATTATGATCTCTATTACTGTTTCTATTCTAAAGAAAGGAAAGTATAAAATCGAGAGTATCGCGGGCTACGTAATACTATACGAGTTTTGAAGGACTTTCTCGGCGGTATCCATTATTAAAATTACAGGGATCATTTTTTTAATTTCCTCTTTTCGATGAAAGAAAACGACCCATAAAAAAAACATTAACGAGTTTTATAGTCGATAGTATTTATTTTTGTAAATATAAATATTTATATAACACATATATATATAAAGTAATTAAGATAGCAAATTAAATTACAATTATATTTCAATTTGTTCCATGATGGAAACAAATTACAAATGAAAAACAAAAAATTATGCACCATTTACTTAATAATAAAGAAAAACTATCGATCAATTTGTATTTAAATAAGCGAAATTTCCATAGAAGCTAATCTCATAAAACTGACGACGAACATAATTTGAGATATATAATTTACATATGTCGTAAATAGAGAGGACCTTTGAACCGGCTTAAAAAGTCGTCCTACCAGATTCCTATTTCGAATCTTATCATTATCTTCTACTTTTTTAGGTTGGAGACGGTAGCATCATAGTTCTCGACGCTACTTTAGATGCTTCGACGACTGACGATTCTGAATGGGAACTTTCGGGTGGACCACCGTCCCCTTGCGACGTTTCTTTTCTCAATGATAATATTCTTATCAATGGTCGTAGCAATTTATCGAGAACGCCGAGAAATCACAAGGTGAGCACGTTATTTCCATTGAAAAATGAAGAAATTTACTTATCATATATTTATTATTGTTTACACTCAGAGTTTCAAATCGGAAGAATATCCATCGATTCACGTTAGACGTTCAACGTTATTCATTTTATTTCATTTTACTTTATTTTATTTTATTTTATTTTATTTTATTTTATTTTATTTTATTTTATTGTTTGTTTCATACTCACAATCAATAAAAGATCTCTGATATAAGATAAATATTGGTTATAGAAGAGATAACGAAAAAGAAGAAGCAGGGCAATCGTTAATTATAAAACTCGCACTGAAATAAAAAAAAAAAAAACTTACAACAACGCCGATAATAATTCTATTCTTCATAATAATTCTTTCGATCTTATTTACAGTTCAGTGTTTCTCTTTGTTTGTAAATTTTGAAATTATATATATTTTCTGGATCGATTTTTTCTAAAAGAATCGTATTTTCGCTCGATCGAGATATAGTACGTGTATAAAATCGATGGAAACATATCGATAACTTATTAATCTTACACTATCTTCGCGATTCTTATATTTTTCTCTTTTATCTTATTGTGCAATCTATGTAAAGATAACAAAAATTCGCTTTATCATTGTCGCACTCGAAGATTATATTTATATTTAAAAAAACAAAAAGGAAAGAAAATAAAACTCTTATTGCGTCTAATTGTTAAAAAAAGAAAGGAAAAATACGTGGTATGTGCGCTTGTTGCATGTAGTGTATCATTTTCTAATAACTTTTGCTACAGTAGTATCATAGAAAAGAAAAGTTTGAGGGAAGGGAATTATTTAACATCGTTCACGTAGGAATACATAAACACGATGTGCGTACTGTCAAATATACGATATACAATAGAGTTACATTTTAATGATACAAAATTGTATAGGTTGAAACAAGTAGCTGCGTAATGGGTTAACGTTCATTTTCTCTGATAATTTGCGTTTTACGATTCAGTTTGCGCATTATATATATGTAGATAAGTTTCACCTCGCGAACAATCATTTTATCGATGACGTGTAGTAATTCGAAGCCAATTTCGAATATAGTTTTATGGGATATCGTATTGAAGGTGTTCGTTCGTGAATTACATATTCTGTGAACTAGTATATAAAAATACACGTGAAACTTCTTTCCTCGTTTTCTTCGAAAGAATTAAGTATTGGGTCTTATTGCTTGAACAGTATGAACCTAATGGACTTAAATGGACTACATTATATAATCCTAATGGACCTCTACTGACACAACTGTATAAAGTTTTAAAACAATCGATGTTTTCAAGGTCTGATGTAGCCCTCTTGTTATCGTACTAGCATTAAGTATACTTGTAAATATACCTGGCGCGTACTTTCGCAATCACCGACTCATATCGGTAAACTATTATTTACTATAATAAAAACAAAACAAAACCAAAAAAAAAAAAAGAACGAAACATAAACGCATTGGTGAGAGCGTATAACAACGAAGCATGCAATACTTCAGAACGAAAAGTGAGCGTGCGTTTGGCTCGAAATTGTTCGCGATATTTCGTAACGAGATGAATCGCAAACAACTTTCGTTAATATTCGTTTGTCAAGGTCGTTTGTTGGCAAACAACGATAATTCGTATGATAAATTATTCGCCATTAACGTATCACGACCCGTTATGCGAATACGTAATTAGTAATTCCTTGTGATTATTGGAAAAAGTGTCAATGTTATGTTTACCAGCACACAACGTGCCACTGCTGCACATGCTCGAAGAAAGTCATACGAGAAATGTCAAAAAAGTAAGAGTGCAAGTTTCACAAATTTATTGACACAAGTGTCAATGTGGACTTTTCAAACAAATTATATTTTTTATCCAAATATTTGTTAAAACGTTTAATTAGATGATGTAGCAGCATTTACATTTATTAGTTATAACTTACGTTAGAATATTTTTCTACCATATACTTTTGTATCAATTACAATTATATTCAATGTTCTTGTATCACTTTTGTGATACAAGTGATACCTTATACACGAATATTATTATTATTATGTATAATAATGGCCGATAATGTTTGATCGTGAAGAATTGTGAAACGCGTTATTTATCGGTACACACCTTTACTCGGATACTCGATACTCGTATACTTGTATTATATGCGTCAGAGTTGCGTCAGGGTTGCTATACTTTTTAAATTTTACACATTTGAGTGACATCAAATATTCGACCGACTGACGACACCCTTTGAGCTTGTCCGCATTTTTTATAACTCAATCTTCCATTAAAATCTTGTTTATCTCTATCCTTAGTTTTATCGTTGCACAATCGTTATGTCCCGTTGACAAAATATAGCAGAAATACTATTTATCTACCGAGACCACCCTTTGTGTCTCTGACGCGTTATTATCGTTGCCGCATTTTGATAATCGTTCTCAACAAAGTACGATGTTTCATCTTGAAACGATGTAAGTTGATATTATTACCTTTTCGATTTGTAAACTATATGTTAACTAGAAATTAACTCATATTTTCTGTTATTTTTTAACGCTTCAAAAATTACGGTGTGTGTTATGAAATATAATCAATTATAACGTATATTTTCTTTTCATTACAGAATGCGTACTCTATTGCTTCATTCGGATTCACGAAAAATATTTACATTTATCTCGTTCAATCATATAAATGAAAACGAGTTGCGTATTCCTAAATATTTATTACTGCGATCAGCTGCTCTGAAATTTCAATTTAATATGCATACATTATTCACCTTTAGTAAGCAAATTTTTCGAGTAAATGAACAATCATCTTTTTTTGTTTCTTTCCTTCTTTCACGATAATAAAAACATTGCAAAATCTACGGACGAAAGTGGAAATAGTACAAAGAATGTTGTTGCAACGGAATTCTTTTAAATGATCTGAAAATACATAATTTTTTTTTTCACGAGTAAAGTACTTCAACAATGCACGAGATAATACACTAACAGTTATGCACCAGTGTACATTAAGTACACAAAAAAATATGCATATCAAGATGCAATCGCTTATTTCTCCAATCTTTATTTTTATTTTTTTTTTTTTTTATTTTTTTCTATCTTGTATATTTTATCCTTTTTCAAGTTATTACTTTTATGCATTGCTCTTGACTATAGAGATCATCTCACGTGTATGCAAATCAAAGAAATATGTAAAGAAGCGTAACATGCGTATAAATAGGTACATACATATGCATGAAGTGTATTAGGATTCGCGTAATAACGGTATTAATAGTGTAATCCGCCTGTGACAACACGTTTCTTACGACTCACAACGATTGTTATTATTATTATTATTATTATTATTATTATTATATATACATATGTGATTGATTATAAAATCCGTTAGGTACATAATTGTGATCAACAGACGATTGAATCTTTTCTGAATATCAATTTATTAGATATAATACTTTATAATGTAACTACTTATCTCTATATTTTATAAACTACGGGGATCATTAATTGTTCGCGAAATCTAAGGAAAATAATGTTCAAGGTGTAGATATAATTAAGAAAAGGTGCGGTCAACTCGTAGTTGAAATAATTGTTGGTACTGTTATTGCCATATCTACATACATACATATATATACGGAAACTTGGTTGTGTTTGATGGATCGTAAATGAATATCCTTTAAATTGTGATCGAATTTCTCGAAATAAAAATGTTCTTACTACTCATTTTTGATTTGATAAAGAAGCAAATTCGAAATATTAAGTCACAATTTAGTATAAGATCTTATCTCTCGAGAGAAAATAACGAAAAAGACCAATGTCTTCTCGCTTCTGTGCTCGAAAAATCAACGAGTGTGACCGGTTACTGTTATTCCGCATCGGTCTCTGCGTGTTAATGCCGTTGTTTCTATTTATTTTGTAATTACTTTTCATTCTTCTTTATGATTCATATAAAACAATTTGAATCTTCTACGTTTCAAAATTAAAACGTTAAAAAATATTATAGACATTGTCTTTGAAGAATTTGTAGAAAAATTAGAGAAGAAAAAAAAACAAAACACCTTTAATTTACCATAGATTTTGTTTATATTAATCTCTACGTGTTCGTTTCAGCATCGAATACAATTCGACGATATGGCAACACGCACCTTTGAATATCCAAGCGAGGCTTCCATGTTGGAGGGTGAGAGCAATATTATAGATAACGAAAGCTCAACTTCCGGAGAGCAATCTACGCAGATCACTAATAAAACGTCAACGGCCGGTTCAACGACGAGCATCCCGTCGCTTCTTGGTAATTTTTCTAGTTAACAACAATGACTTACCTAACTATTCCTTCGTCTTGCTTTATATAGAAATTAACAATCAAAGTTCGTTATTTATTCGTCTCCCGAACGATGGTTAACATTTACTTTGTTTCAATAATAAAGCATGTGATATAATATTTTGAACAAAAATTAAATTTAAATATTTTTTTCTTTTTGCATTATTTACACATAAATGTATTTTTGTAAAAATGATCTTTTCATTGACGTTACCACACTTACGTTTATTTCGTTCCTTGTATATAAGCTTATCTATTTTTTAGGAGGCGGTGGTTTAGCGAGCTATACACCAAGCAAAGTGGATTTGGCATCCGAGAGCTTCGAGTTAGGTGTCACCAGAGCTACGTTGACAACGGGCAGCACAGGCTTGACTACTACAAATAATGCCAATGGCAATGATCAACAGCAGCAAGGGCAAAACACAAGCGAGGTTGACTACTTGAAACCTGCTCAAGATGGCAATGCGTGGGGTTCAGAAACGACCGGTGATCTTCTCTATTGAATAACCGATGAACACCGGTGAAGAAAAAGAAAGAAACATAGGAGAAAGATGAAACCGTTCAAGAGCCCAAAAGAAAAAGGGAAATTATGTTGAAATATTTTCTGCCTCTCTCTTTCTATAAGTTTATATATAAATAATATTTTCCACAAGGATTAAGGATAAAAAATATATGAGAAAAGATACAGAAAAAACGATTAGGTGGTTCAAAGAGATAACCTTATTGATTATGGTTGTGAAAATCAATTGAAGAATTGTATTGTAATGAATTTTGTAAATGAATTTTGTTCTTTTTTTCATGGGTTTAATTACTACGACGTTTAGACGTTTAATTAAATTCATAAAAGAAACAATATCATTCCAAGTTTATGCATTTATATATCTTATTCTTACGATATATCGCTAAGCGAACGGATAACTTTCCTAAAGATAACGAATCATCGATTACTGCCAAGATATGTTAGTACTTGTTCTAAATATGCCGCCTTAAAAAATGACCAGCTAATGAACGACAATGCCTCTTCATCAAGACATTTACAGTCGTGTCAGATATTATATGCAAAGAGAAAATAAAATCATATCACATTTTGGGCGCATTTTATAGGTATATATAGTATAAAGAATATGCATATATAGTAATAAAGTTGTTAGGGAGAACTGAAAGTTTTGTAACCTTTTTGAGATTATTTTACCGCTGAGCTGCAAATATTTAAGCTGCCAATCGAAAATCGGAATTTTATGCAAACGTTTTTAGAAAATACAGAGAAAAATTAAAACAAACAAAATTATAATAATAATAATTAAATGTCATAGAAAGGTGTATGATTAGGAAGTTGAGAGAAGGGGAGATATATTTAATAAAATCGAAAAAAACGAAACACCAAGAAATATACCGAGATTTAGATTTGTAAAAGTTTTTTGCCAAAGTAGAACGTAAGTCTACTTAGAGTATATACTTATCATATATGTACAATAAGTCACTGTCGATTTACTACTGAATTCATAAGAATTGTAAGTCGATAATGGGGGAAAAAAGAAAGAAAAAAAGAAATTCACTATTTCACATTAAATGATCATTTTAAAGCGTATTGGGAACGCGCCTCGTACGTAATTGAACTTAAATCGTATTTCAATGAAAGTATGTGATTTCATTTAGAATTTCAGTCAGCTTTTTGTTTATCATATGCGGACGAGGACCAAAAATAATGGAATAAGAGATTTAAAAAATGTATTGGTTCATTAACGTAAGATTAATTATTAAAAAAAAAAAATATTAAGTGAAAAGAATTATGTATATACTAAATTATTATTGGTCTTATGATGAGCATTTAGGTTCGTGATATCCATTCTCGAAATTTAGAGAGGGAAAAAATTAAGCTAGATTAAGACCGATATTCTATGTATTTTTATTTCTTCTAATCTAATAATTTATGTTCAAAATATTAATGTACCACATGTATTCTGAACGTTCATTTTTGAATCGTGTAAGTATTTAATGTATTATTGAAGCACTACTTGGTATAGATAATCTTTACTTGATTGCGTTATCGCGGACTGATTCAAGCAAATAAATACAATATAAAGGATAATAATTTATTGAAAGGTACATTTATTGTTTGTACTGAATCGTTCTCGCGTTTTGTGCGTCTGAAATAGCTATTAATTAGATACTGTAATGGATCTTCAACTATTTTGTGATGTAATACTTTTATTTAATTGCCTATGTATACACAAGATCCATAATTGGTGGATCATTGTCACAGCGTTGTGCTTACACTGTGATACTCTTGTTACTCTTCTAGTATTCGATAGTAATTTTCAAAGGAAATGCTTGAAAAAAAACAAGAGCAAGTCGAAGACTAGCGTTATGTCTGCATGATATCGATAACTGCGCCGATTTAGGAAGATCGTACGCGTAGCATTCCAAATTTAATGACAAAGTATTGATTTATATCCTTTTTGTAAAGTAGATTTTAATCTCCTTATTACAATTGGGAGAACTCCGTAATATTTCTGTAAATTATATTTGTACAATATGAGCAAGTATGATCATCAGAGTCCATATTGTTACACAAGTAGCATTTATGATCATCCCTAACATTTGACGCTTGAATTCACATTACTGCATTATCAAATATATATATATACTTATTAATTAGAAATATCGTGTGATGTATATCGTATGTGTGTCAAAATATTGAAATAATAAAATGATATAAGTATGTCTTCACATTCTATGTGTGTGTGTGTATATATATATATATATATATATATATATAATATATATTATCATAATTATTAAATGGTATAGTCATTTTATAGAATTTGATCTCATTTATTTTACTAAATATCACAAAAGTTTGTAATATCGTGAACAAAAAATTAGAAATTGCCTAAGATTTAACAGTTGTTATTTATATATAGAAGTATAATATTCTTCTTCTAAATCATACAAATCAGCTGCCATATCATCTCTCAAAGATGCCAGTTTCTGATCACATTCAGCTTGCTTTGTTCTAAACAATTTACTGTTATGAGCTATAGCATCATTGACAGACGGAAAGTCATTAAGAATCAGATATTGTTTTATATCGGAAACCAATTTCATCAGCGATTCACCAGCTCTAACAATGTTTGCTGCCCTAACATGCATTTCGAATGTGTCCTGCTCGCATTGAGCCATCCGTGAAAGTTGCGAATCATTTTCACCTTTAGCAAGCTTGACGATTTCTGAAGAAAAAGTAAGAGAATTAAAAGAAAAAGCATCTAGACAAAAGAACGTTCAAAACTGATAAAGAACAAAGAATAAAGAAGGTTCGATTGAAGAGGTTAGGAGGACGAACCTTCGAAATTTTCTAGCATCGATTTAACATCGTCCTTCAATCGCGTTGTATATGATTTCAACAAGGCTTCTTTACTCTGTGGCAATGCACGTTGCGCAGCCATGTTTTGGTCCAGTAATAATGCACTTGTATTCTTAAAAACAATAATCTTTTAGACTTGCAACGAACTAACGAGTGACTATGATGTTATTAAATTTGAACTTACCAACAATGTCAACCAAGTCGACGACGAAAAAAGAAATCAAATTACATGGTATCGGGAAAAGTAATATACGGATAGTATAAGGGTCATGTTAAAATAGAAACGATGCAACCTTAGCATAACTAACTAATAACACGTGTGTTTTCTCATGAGAGACCTCTCCCGGAAATTCTGCATTACCGACCAAGCAATGATACGATAAAAAGAACAAAATTTACTGATTATTTAATATAACTTCAAATTAAATTACAAAAAAAAGAAGCTTTTGAATAAGGAATTATAGTATGATTCATTTTGTTGTCATTTTCTCATCGATTTTAACAGAGAGAGAGAGAGAGAGGGAGAGTCTAACTATATGAACGTTCTTGATAGCCACCCTTTGTCCCCACCACTATTCCCAAGTCCCGGGATGGAATCAATATGAAAGCTCCCGCGAAACTTCCGTCTTCTATTAAATGGACTTTAACTCGGACAATGAGATGGTCGTCAGCTCGATAAACATCTTCTTCTTATGATAATGATCGAGTGTTCGCACATAGTAATTTATCAATTTTTAAATTGATCGTTTTGAGCGATCGCGCAGAAAGGAAAGTTGAAAAAAGATTTGTCGGAGAGGGTGGAAACACTTCAGTTTCGAGGTCGAAACAGAGTTGGTGCAAGAAGAGAATGAAGGCTATAAAAAAAGTCCGCCTTTCGAAGTCGCGTTCCTTCGGCGTGTCGTAGGGATAATTTAAAAATACGAAAGGAAAAAAAAGAGTAAAACCAGAGAGAGAGAGAGAGAAATACAACAACACAATGTTGGTCCTAATCATCTCCGTTTTGATGTTAGCTCGTACAGTCATCGCTTCGTTACCACCTCCTGATGAAAATGACAATGTCCTCCACATTGGTGGTATTTTCCCAATAAATGGAAAGGGTGGTTGGCAAGGTGGTCAGGTGAGTGTACACATTTTTACGCGTTTTAAATACTCCTTCCGTTATTCTATTTCCAATTATAAGAAATAAAATGAAAAATCAAACGATATATAATATGTTAAGATTTATTATTTTTAAATAAAGTATAAAGATTGAATGTATTCGTGATTAGGCTTGTAAGCCAGCCGTAGATTTGGCATTGGATGATGTTAATCGGGAGAAGAATTTGTTGCCTGGTTTCATTCTGAAATTGCACTCTAATGACAGCGAGGTAAGACGAATCGGCAGATGGATGGATAGGTAGTTTCTAATTTAATATATCGTTTGATAATTTATCGTATTTCTGTTTCAGTGCGAACCTGGCCTCGGTGCCTCGGTAATGTACAATCTGCTCTATTACAAGCCCCATAAACTAATGCTGTTAGCTGGATGTAGCACAGTTTGTACCACTGTTGCTGAAGCTGCGAAAATGTGGAATTTGGTTGTCGTAAGTAATTTTTCTTTTTCTTTTATCTTCAAAAAAAATTTGGGAAGAAGAAAAATAATCGAATAAATTATATTTTGTTTAGCTATGTTATGGTGCTTCATCGCCAGCTCTTTCAGACAGAAATCGATTCCCGACTTTGTTCAGGACACATCCATCCGCCACTGTGCATAATCCCACGAGAATCAAACTTTTACAAAAATTTGGCTGGTCCCGCGTCGCCATATTGCAGCAAGCCGAAGAAGTGTTCATTTCTGTCAGTTAATTTACATTCTTCCTGGATTATATAATATATATATATATAAATAATGTATTTTATACTCCTTGATAATTTTCTAACATATTGTTATGGCTTTTTTTCTATAACGCAGACAGTAGAAGACCTAGAAGCACGTTGTAAAGAAGCAGGAATAGAAATAGTCACTCGTCAGAGCTTTCTCTCTGATCCTTCAGATGCTGTAAGAAATCTGCGTAGACAAGATGCAAGAATAGTCGTTGGTCTTTTCTACGTTGTAGCTGCAAGGAGAGTACTATGCGAGTTATATCGTCACAATCTTTACGGGAAGAGTTATGTTTGGTTTTTCATCGGATGGTATGAGGACAATTGGTTCGAAATGAATCTCGATAAAGAGAATATCGCTTGTACCAAGGAACAAATGAGACAAGCTGCCGAAGGCCATTTGACGACCGAGGCTCTTATGTGGAATCAAAATAACGATACAACTATCAGCGGTATGACGTCGGAAGATTTCAGGCAAAAATTGAATAAAATGTTGAAGGAAGATGGGTATGACATCGATAACAATCGGTATCCCGAAGGTTATCAGGAAGCTCCGCTTGCATATGACGCCGTTTGGTCTGTAGCATTGGGTGAGCATGTCACTGTTATCAAATAAAAATGTCCAAGATATTAGGATACTTAACACATTTCTAGCTTTTTGTGTTGATATTTTGTATTAAATGCAATGAAACGAAGATCACGGTATTGTGATTTTTTACTAAATAATCAAATGATCTGAAAATGAATGAAGCTAGAATTGGAATTTAGTTGCTGACTAGAAACACTTTTTGTCTATCGATTAGCATTTAACAAAACTATGGAGAAGTTGAGTAAACTCGGCAAGAGCTTGAAGAACTTTACCTATACTGACAAGGAAATCGCCGATGAGATTTATTCGGCTATCAACTCGACGCAATTTCTAGGAGTTTCCGTATGTAAATAATGTTCAAATGTATAGGGTGTATAAAAATGATGTGTTCGCTTCTTCGTCGGATATTTCTTCTTCAATTCGTGATTCATTTTGATGAAAATTTTCAAGGTCAGATTTTTTTAACCATCAATAATTCATCCTTGAAGTTGTGGCTGGCCACATTTTACGAAACACTCTGTATATTTAATTACATATCAATCTTCAATAATGTATTCTTTGGCCCTTTGTACAGGGATACGTAGCTTTTAGTTCGCAAGGTGATAGGATAGCATTGACACAAATCGAGCAAGTAATCGATGGAAAATACGTTAAGTTAGGATACTATGATACGCAAAGCGACAATCTTACATGGCGAAACATGGAGCGTTGGATTGGTGGAAAAATACCTCAAGATAGAACGATAGTAAGGACGATTCTAAGAACGGTATCACTGCCTTTATTCATATGTATGGGAACTATATCGTCTGTCGGGATCGTTATAGCGATTATATTGATTATTTTCAACGTCTGGAATAGACATCGGAGGTGTGGAAGCATTTCTCGTTTGATAAGCAACGCTATACATCTAATTTACTTTCTATTATTTTCTTATGTTGCTCTCTATTTTCGTTTATCGTTGATTTTTTAGGGTAATAATGTCTTCTCATCCGGTATGTAACACGATCATGCTAGCCGGTGTGATAGCCTGTTTCATATCTGTATTTCTTCTTGGAATCGATGGCAGATTCGTTTCGCCTAATGAATATCCAGCAGTTTGTCAAGCCAGAGCTTGGATGTTGTCTACCGGTTTTACCCTTGCGTTCGGTGCCATGTTCAGCAAAGTATGGCGAGTTCACAGACTCACTACCAAAACGAAAGCTGATCAAGCGAAGGTAACTCACTTTGGTGTGCTTCTAATTCAACGTTTACTTATGATTATCACGAGTTTATTTACTCGTCCGTTAACTGCATCCCGTCAACTTAATCCCGTTTTTCCTTCTTTTTTAGTTGTTCATGGCCAAACAGAAAGTTTCATCTATACAGAAGAAGATTCAACCGTGGAAGTTGTATACTATGGTAAGCGGATTATTGGTTATTGACATCGTTCTTCTTGGCCTGTGGCAAGGATTTCATCCTTTACAAAGGCAAATCGAGGTTTTCCCATTGGAATCACCACCCACAGGGGACGACGATGCGAGAATAAGACCGGAATTAGAACATTGCGAGAGCGAACACAATAGCATATGGCTCGGTTAGTATATAGATTTTTCTTATATATAATACAAATGAAAATATACAAGATGTTCCATTTTGATTTTACCATTTGTATCGATTAAATGTACAAATTATTGTTCTAGGATTGATATATGGTTACAAAGGTGTTATTCTGGTTTTTGGATTATTCCTGGCATATGAAACTAGAAGTATCAAAGTGAAACAAATTAATGATTCGAGATACGTAGGCATGTCAATTTATAACGTAGTTGTACTATGCCTTATAACAGCCCCTGTTACGATGGTTATCGCCAGTCAACAAGATGCCAGTTTTGCTTTCGTAGCATTAGCGATTATATTTTGTTGCTTTCTCAGCATGGCGTTGATCTTTGTACCAAAGGTAATAGAAGTGATTAGGCATCCCAGGGATAAGGCAGAATCAAAGTACAATCCTGATGTATGTTTATCAAAGGAGGACGAAGAAAAATACCAAAAATTATTGAGCGAAAACGATGAATTACAAAAACTCATTGCCGAGGTAAAGTGTTTATTGTTTGTATTCATTTTGTGGACATTTTTTTTGTAAAAAAAAACATATAAAAGTCATATATGTTTTTTTTCTTTTTTAACTTGTTCGCTGCAGAAGGAAGAAAAAATCAAGTTGTTGAAACAAAAGCTTGCCGAACGTGACTTATTAAAAGGAGGAGGTGGAAATATTGGAAAGGATTCCTTGATTGTTGCTGATTTTGTAACCGGCGAGGGAACTTCGGATAGTGCAATCGGTGGGGGTATTTCTGTTAATACAAGATCCTCGCGAGCTTCCGCTTCCGATTTTGAGTTATCGGAATCGTACTTATAAATACCAATTACAATTCGATCAATCGATTCATTTAACAGACGTTTCAAATAAACCAAAGTTTTGTGTACTTTTTGTACCAAGACTATGGTATCGCAATAGTCATTGTCACCAGTATTTCACAATTGTATCACGAATAAAAAATACCGTTATTTCTGAGAAAAAGGTAAGAGAAAGAAAATAATGTTAAAAGAGAAAGTCGAATATCGTGTTAAGTTAGATAAGCATGCGATGTTCAACGTTTACTCGCTTAGATTCGTACGAATACTAACGAAAAGTGTATTCTAGATTTCTATATTTGTGTAAATGTGTAAATGTTGAACCGTCTGAAGTATTCGAAAACGCAGGAAAACTTAAATACGCGATTGAATTCGTAATTTCGTGTTGATGGTAACTCGATCGAACGTTACTTAAGATTCGGTAATTCGGTGATAACCAGATCAAATGTCGGCCTAGACTATTTCAAGCTGTTCTCTCCCCTCCCTCCCCCCTCTCTCTTATTTTCCTTTGACGACTGCAATATTCTAGTGTTCTTTTAATAATTATAAGATTTTGCTCATAATAAAATAAAAAATGATACAAAGTATTATATAAATAGAGCATACAGAGAGATCATAGCACAACTTTGTTTGAAAATCCGGCAAACTTCGTTTTACGGAATCCGATCTTAAGGACCAACCTCTAAATCCTAAATATTATATATTCCTTCGAATATTGATTTTAGACAATTATAAATGTCCAATGGAGGCAACTCCTACATCTCTAATAAGTAGATATTCAGAAAACGAGAAACTTGGGTTCGAGTCCCAAGTTCGAGTTCCAGACCAATATTTTTCGCTAATTCTACATTAAATGTAAATTTGTAATTATCCTAATCACCGACCACGTCAAAAATTCCCGGGTCCAAAGAAATAACATATATCCGATCGTTTTTTGACGATACGCAATTCACAACAGAAGAGATACAGAATATTTATTTATTTATTCTTGCAATTGAAAGTTTAATCTACATATAAATATTATAGGATAAAGATATGTGGTGGTAGATTTATTTGTCACCTAAACAAATCTCTGTCCCTGTGGCATCGAATATAGTTTATTATCGAATAAATAAATTTAGATGAAGCAATTGCAGTTAAATCTCGTTAGATCATACTCGTTATTCTTTATTTTCTAACCGATGTAAGCCTCATGAAGTCTGCTCCCAAATTTTGTAACGTTTCAATTTAACGCTTCCATGCTGATGATTGATATTATCTATTCGCAAATACCAATAATTAGATCCTTAAAAAATATTAAAAATGCTAACGAGATTTAAACGCTCACATAGTTCGACCATTCATAAATAATTTGGGAGTCTTGATGAGGTGTGCTATTGTAATTTTATCTCAATTATACGATATAAATAATCGTTTTTCCATATAGAAATTCAAATATTATATATTTGGCACTTGCATTATTATTTATGAATGGCATTACTCTTTTAAAGTTTTTTTTTCATTACATTTCAAGGATATGGTTTCTGACTTCTTGTTTCTAGATACGGACAACATCGGCTGATTACAAGATTATCATCAGCTACAAATAATATCAAAGCAATATGCACGAACGGGCTAAAAGTTTACGACAAAAAGCTACCTTTTAAAATTTAATATTAAACATACTTGTGCAATCATCGCGCATCGATTTCCAAAGCTTTTTTTGTGTTGGACAGGAACAAATGTTATCCATAATCTCGAAATACAATTTCATCATTTAATATATAATAAGGATTGTCCATTCCCTAAGAATCATTTCGTAATTTACTAAAAAGTAAAAGAACCGTTTCGCGTTTCTAAAACGCGATAACACGATTTAACTGCAATTCGCAAATTATTATATTATCATCATTATCATTACAATATCATTATTACTATTACTTTTTTTTCTCTCACATTAGACAATTGTGTAGCTAATGGTCAAACGGGTTTCCTTTATGATTGTAGTTTTATAATGCGTTGAAAATTATTATTATTATTAATAATATGTACGTACAACGTAGATTAAAAAGTAAACTATAAGCACAAGAGCTGGAATATGCGTGTTTTATCTGCGGATCTGCGCTTTCTTTAGAAATTTTATCAACAAAATTAATTGATATCGTTATATCGTAATCGTGTTCACTACACAATATTTTTTATTGTGTCTCATTTATTTACGATCACGTAAATGACATACTCAAATTGTATATTTATAATAGCATTATCAAAATGTTAAAGAAAGTATCTTATATGTACGTTGGTATATGAAGATATTTATTTTTAAGTTTTTCAATTATAAACTTCGTTAAAAACTGTAAGTGGGTGCGAATCTATATTATTTCACCCTATATCGTAATTACATTTTTTTCGATTAAATTTGGAAATATTTGATCGAATTGATTAAAAATGATTATATTATATTATCATTTTTCTTGTTATATAATTAAAATTTAATGGAATCTATTATTAGCAATCTGATAAATTAAAGTTATTTTTTTGTCCAAAAAGATAGGATATAATAAAGAAATTTCATTGTAAATAATAGAATTGCATAATTTGTTTTAAAATATCAAATCGGCATGATATATATTTCGAATTTCGCGCGATCTGTCTGCACCTGTACCGACTAAGCACGACTTGCATTTTCTTAACATATCCCGCCATATTGCTAGTATCGTTACTGCACAGTAGTGCGTGGTTTATCGTTGTTAATCATTGTTTTAGACGCACAGTATCTTCTTTTACTTATTTGTGAATCGTTTATCGCAAAATGTCGTTTGGAACTGGATTTGGAGCCAACACATCGGCACCAGCTTCATCATTTAGTTTTGGTTCGACAGCTACTGCAGCTCCCACACCAATTAAGCTGGGTAACTCACATTCTTTTAGGTTATATCATGCTTGCGATATTGCAGTTTTAATTACTTCTAACAAGTATCTCTTTATTTCTCATTTTTTACTATCTTCTATTATGAAAGATTATTTTATAAATGAAATATGTCCTGATAGAAAGTAAGATACGGATATTTAAGTAATACAAAATGTGTCAATTTTTAGGTTAAAGTAGTTTGCATTTCTGGCGCGAAATTTCTATAATGTCCATTTTTAATATAAAACATTGCAAACTTTTTATGGGGTTCAATATTTTTCAATAATTTATTATTTTTTCAAATAGCTACTACTTGTTTTACTAGTTGTATCTGATATTTTTTCCGTTCTAAGAAGCGGCCGATTTAATCCATTACATTCAGGATCACAATCAAAATCGTTTCTTTTACAAAAGTAGTTTTTCCTTTTTGTTTTGGAAATCATGCATGCTGTAATGCAACATAGAAATAAGAGAATCAAACATGCAACGGTTAATATTACAAACACAACGGAGCGAGTTGTATGTCCAGACACAGTAGAATTGTTTGCCGATATCGTAGTATGAATGACATTAGTCATTGAGTGTGATACAGTTGTTTGATCTATAATTTGTATGTTAGATGCAGTATCTTCAATATAATACATTTCGCTTGGTATTTTCCCAACAGTTGTTATCATAATTTCTGCTGTAACGTCCTAAAAGCAATTATAATAGATAATAATATAACAAATATTTTGGAATTGTAATTAAGAAAACGTACTCCAATTGCCTGATCCGTAGTACCAACTTCATTCAAGGTTTCGGTAGAGAAATCCGGAGAAGGAGCATTGATTTCTCTTAAAACTATTTGGTTATTAGATGATGTCACTCTTTTAAAGAAATTAAGCGCCATATCCTTAAATTTAGGATGCTAAAGTATAAAGATAACATTTTCACGAGATATTCGATGATACGAAATTGAGTTAAATATTTAAAATCTTACGTGCAACTGATTTTGTTGACTCATAAAAGACATTGTCTGTTTTTAATATTTCTTCTGGCCTAAAGAAAAAATTTTTCACACAACTTTGATACATAAATTATTTTATGTTTAAAAACATACATCTGTATTAATACGCAAGAATATGTTCCGTTTTATGTTTCCACGGGATGTTTTGATAAAGATTATATTTTTACATTTATAATTTTCTGCAATTTTTCATTATTTCTTTATACACATGTAAAAATAATAGTATAAACGAATTATCATTAATGAATCTAAACTTTTGTGTTTAATGTATGCTTTATTGATATTGTATAAACAAAAGTTAGTGAAATCTAAAAACTAGTTAACTTCACATTGAATATTCATATTTTTACCATTTTTTTTTTCACAAACTCAGGAATATTAGAAATCGGTTTTCTTTAACTTTAAATAAATTTTGATAACAGGATTTGGGACTCCAGCTTTTGGATTCAATACACCAACAACTTCGGCTTCTAATCTTTTTGGCACTCCGTCGACTCAAACTACTGCATTTGGAACAGGAACAGGATTTGGAACACCAGCAGCTACAGGCTTTGGTACTATACCAAGCACTGGATTTGGAACAACTCCTGCATTTGGCACTCCAGCTACCAGTGGTTTTGGTACTGGATCAACTTTTGGTACCACTTCAGCAACAACTACTGGATTTGGGACTCCTTCGACGTTTGGCAGTACCCCTGTTCCTTCAACTGGTTTTGGTGTATTTGGTACAACGACAACTACAGCATCATTAGGATTTGGTGGATTTAGTGGATTTGGGACCACGACCACAACTTCTGCGCCAAGTTTATTTAGTGGTTACGGTACAGCGAGTACAGCTCCATCGACAAGTTTTTCCTCATCTATTGGCGGTTTTGGTAGCTTCGGTCAAAAACCTACAACAACAACTGCTATCACAGGTTTTGGCACGCAAACAACAGGTAGTATTTTTGGTTCTACTGGTTTTACTGGATTTGGAACTGGGATACAAACGCAACAACAGCAACAACAAATACAACAGCAGCAACAGTCTATTTCTGAAGCACTTTATAACGCCGTGTTTAATTGTCAGCTTTATAATGACGAACGAGATAATACGATTGCTAGATGGAATCTCATTCAAGCATTGTGGGGTACTGGAAAGGCTTATTATTCGGTAAATGCGCCGCCAATCGATTTGAATCAAGAAAATCCATTATGCAGGTTTAAGGCCATCGGCTATAGCCGTATTCCCGATGCTGATAATAACGATGGATTGGTTGTAATTTCTTTTGGTAAGAAAGAAAAGATGGTAACGGAAGGGAAACAACAATTAATTGCATTCTTACATGGTATTCTTGGAAATAAACCTAACTTAACAGTGATGGTTGATAGTATAAAGTCAACAGGAAAAAATAAATGTCAAGTGTCTATTTTTATTTCTGAGAAAGGAGTAACTGGAAGTTCAAGAAAAATTCCTGCTAATGAATTAGTTGCTTATCTTTCTCAGCCTATGCAAAAACAACAACTTGTGCAAAATGGTGTAAAGGACGTATTTCCGTTTGTTAAATTGGATCCTACTCAATTGAAAGAATATTTAGATAATCCACCTTGTTCGATTGATCCACGATTGTGGAAACAGGCTCAATTGGACAATCCAAATCCAGAGATGTATATTCCTGTACCAATGATAGGTTTTCAGCAAGTGAAATATAGACTGAAATGTCAGAAAGAAGAGACCGCTAGGCATAGAGCTTTTCTAGATATGGCTGCAGAAAGAATTCAAGATTTACAGAGGCAGCATACTGCCATGCAAGCAAAATTAAAAGAGCATAGGAGAATATTGTTAGAACTACAGCATAGGGTATTACAGGTAGAGCAATAATTAATTATAACACTAATGAATATATTAGTTGAAAATACAGTTTATGAAATAATTGTGTAATATTTTACAGGTATTGGTACGTCAGGAAATTACTCGCAAAGTTGGTTTGTCGTTACAACCAGAGGAGGAAACTTTGACTCGTAGATTTGAAACTATGCATTCACAGATAAGTGCACCTACACAATTTAAAGGAAGAATCAGCGAAATGTTATCTCAGCTTAGAATGAGACGACATATAGATAGTCAAAATCAAGAAAGGTATACGATGGATCCGATAGCACAAGATGATATAAAAACGGTAATCTTATATTTAAACGTTTATTTATGATATTAATTTATAATTAAATTCGTTCATGTGTTGATCGAATTAACATTTTTATCGATTTATTTATTAAATAATTATTATTTTGATATCAGTATTTAAGTATGGAGCAACAGGGGATGGCTCAACTAATCGATACAATAAATGCCGATTTGGTAAGTTTAAAAATAATTAAGGATGGTATGTCAGATCTTTTATTGAGTCACAGTATACCCTGAAAGACATTGTAGTAAAAACTATGAAATTATGCGAACAACGCGTTCGCTCTACAGATTGTGATATGTTGATCGCATCGGATAACATATCGACAGTGTTGTTATACAAATTATTGCTATTCGATCGAAGTTTGCGAAAGCTGCCAAATACTTTATTCAGCACATTTGTTAACAACTTGTGCCATATGTGTTATCATTCCATAAGTCTGTCTATTATTAAAATTGAGTAATGCAGTAAAACAAAAGAAAAGCTTTCAATTTATGGTAGATGTGTATTAATTTTGTTACTAAATATGATTTATGTGAATTACCTGCAGTTCTTGCTGACTACCTGCGTCGTTTTACTTGTTTAATGTCGTTTTCATTACCGTTGAAATAAAAATTATACGATATGGAGAAAGAAGAATAACAGTGTTGGGTGTTTGTTAAATTTAAAAACAAGAAATAAATAATTTTTACATAAATAATATATTTTTATTCATTATCTTTCTGAAGTAGAATGCGCTTTCAAAATCGGGAAATTGCATTCCTGGTTTATTAATATTCAGGTGGATTGATCGCTTGTACGAACGTGCGTACATATATAATATATATATATGTATATATTTTTGTCTATTTACATATATTACATATGCATGCTTTTTAAATATAAAACATAGTAATAGTGTATCGAGATATTAGAATGCGATTTCAAATTATTGTAAAGAAAATCATATTGATCGTGTGTAATATATACATAATTCGTAGCATTATAATTTAAGATAAAGTCTTTTCTTCATCTACTAAACATCTTTCAATATTCGTCAATTTCAAATATTTAACACTCGAGATAACACATTCATATATACGTTATATTTTAAAGATCCATTAAGGCACAACAAATGAAGGTAAGCTTTTTGATAATTTTGTTGTAAAAATTTTCTTTTAGATACACTACCATTATTTGTTAATTGTTAGGTCCAAGGGAAGATCTTCTTCCATTTCAGTAATATTCTCGGTTTTAACTCTGAGATCTTGTCCGCAAGTATTAGTATTGTCAACAATATTGGTCCACATATTTTCAAAGCCATATTGCAGATCAACCGAACCAAGAAGATGCTGAAAGAGGGGATTTCGCGACTTGAGTATAAGATCAGAAAGCATCTTAGTTTTTTCCAAAATACTGTTATTACTATGAACGCAACATTTGTGACGGCAACAGCACTCTTCTACCATATCTTTATTCGTTTTCTCTTTTATTGGCTTATGCTCGACCACTTCTATCTTAACGTCTTCGGCTCGCTTTATCACAGAGTTTCTTATAATATCGCAACCGACGTTGCTCTCTTTTTTGCAAGGTGTACTATTAACAATTGAATCGATATTTCTATAATCGACCGTGCTTATGTTACTCTGACATTCCATTGGTTCTTCTGTTTTAATTGGTGTCGATTGCATACCAATTCGTATGGTCATTGTTTCTGGAACGTGTCTTGGACTAGTACGAGGAGATATCATGGAGGAACAATCCTTTATAATTGTATTACCAATCGTATTCGCGTAGATCGGATTCACTTGGATTCTATCCGGTATTATATAGCTATCGTCATATATTTTCGAATAAATTTTGACTTCTTGTCCATAGGAATTTTGTAGAATATCATTTTCTTTCCGTTGATCCTGCAGATTGTACATGTTGTTCCATTCGACAAAGTTCTTCTGCTCCTCGAAGCTATTGCTCGCCTTTGGACTCGAGCAAGAGGTGTTGCTACTTCCGATGCTGGAATCCTTTTTGTCGGATTCAGAATGAGTAGTACAACTGCTGTTTTGTTTCTCGGGTGAGGTAGCATCGAATCTCGTTTTATCTTGTAAATGGTTATCATCTAAACTTTTCTCCTGCACTTTATCATTGTTGTTTACATAGTGCCTGTAAGTTTTAACGTGTTTTCTTAGGGACGAAGGATCCGTATACCTTTTTGGGCATCCCGGAACCTTACAACAATACGGCTTATCGACGGCATGAGTCCTGGTATGTTTGAATCTATCCGAGGAATTAGAATAGGCCTTGTTGCAACCTTCAACAGGACAGACGTACGGACGTTCACCAGTATGGGATCTAGCATGAATCTTTAGGTTCTCCGCCCTGCTGAAACTCTTATCGCATTGAAAACAGTGATGTGGTTTCTCGTTTGTATGCGTACGGACGTGGACCAACATCTTGTACCTAATCAAGTAAAAATGTCAGTTATCTTCCTTATTTACCTGGTTAGTTCACATTTCAAAATGAACTTCCTTACCTGGCATTAAATCCACGTTCACCTCTCGCACATCCTTCCCATCCACAATAGAACAATCCTCGAGCACCAGGCGCAGCGTGTAGTCTCGCGACGTGTCCAGCAAGCTGTTCCAATGATGCGAACCATCGGCCACAGTTTTGCCATCTGTAAGATAAATTCCATATTGTCATTATTTACTTGCATAGATTTACATTTTCTCGGAACTTTTAATCCAATATATTATCTTATGATTATTCTCTTTGAATGAATGAGTAATCTTACTTTATCTAATACGATTTATCAATGAGGACCCCCCTTTTAAAGAAACAGTTTTGCAAGAATAGAAATGCAGTTAGTGGTTTCTAACTATAAGTCGGCTCTGAGAAAGTAACTGATACGAAGATAGCTCGGATGATCGAATGCCACATATAAATATAGATCGGGCTTGGATATAAATTTATGAAAAGTATCGTTGTTGTGTGTATGATTTGCGTCACAAATATATTCATTGCGAATTGTACGGACAATTGATATCAATTCTGATCATTTAGCGATTGGCGTCATTTGACACCAGTTTATCCGTTGGTCATTTCAAGTTTTTATCTCTTTCTCGCTTGCAGTCCAGTGACTTTGTATTCCGTTAATCGGATACGACGTGCAGCAGGGGTTCGTAGATCAAGGTGCATTCGAAGAACTTATTCTCATGCTGACGATCGGGAAAAGGAATTCGATTTTTGTGTTGTTAATGTTCGACAAAACAAATTCCTTGAAAATAAAACGGTAAACAATTATCTAGAAATTAAAACGACTTTCTATCCTCTTGCTCTCTTTCTCTCATATGAGATTATCTTGCGACTTGATCGAAGCATTTTTAACGCAAATCCATTAGTATCAGTGAAATTATAAGACAAGACTTTTTGAAGCTTTCGCATAATATTTTTCTATATTTTACATTGGTTGCCATTACAAAATCTTTTTACGTGAACATATATTTGAGACGAATATAAAATTCGAACATTCTTATAAGTATATTATATCTTTGTATTTTTATGTTTTTTTTTTCTTTAACTCTTTTACCGCGCGTTTTGTATCTACAAGTGAACAAATTTCTTTCTCGACGTAGAACAACAGAACGTTTTGCTTTTCGAGTTCTGCAGCCAGTCATCGAACCCGAACGAGGAGTGAAAATATTTTCAAATCTGTTTAGAATATACTCGAGGGAATCTCTGATATCGTCTAGCTTTTAAGATAGTAGTGAACTAGTTGCAACCGGAATATGCCGCGTTGCAAATGTATATTTTACAGATACACGTGCACGTGTGCAAGTGTGTACGAAAGAGATAAATTAAAGTCGTTTCGAAAGCGAGCAAATAAGAAAGAGAAAGAAAAAAGGAAAAACAAAAAGCCAGACCAACGATTAGATAGAAAAGTTAAAATGCCTTTCCCCCACACCCCTTTTAAATAATATTCAAATTAATACACATTCTCAACGAGTATATAAAATAATAATGAAATTATTTTAGCTAATCGAAGAGCAACTCCTCGCAAGAAGATCGCGATATTTGTTTCCTTAATCGCCTGGAAAGTACAATAAACTCAATGTTTGCAGATAAAATATGAACTCGCAAGTGGCGCGAGAGAACCTGTAACATATGTCATTATTCTATTATTATTTTTGTCGCGAATATGTGCGCAGAAGAAGCAGAAGAAGGATAAGAAATGCAAAAAGAAGTTTTTATTAATGTAAGATTAAAACATTTGTTTCGATAAATACGATAAAAGGTGTATGCTTTAATCTTCAAGCTAATTCAAACGATGTAAAGCGACTTTAGATAAAATGTTATTATCGAGTATCAGGAAATATTAGAAAGATCTATTATATTATATTTTATTTTTAATAGATTCAATGTTTCGCGATTCCAATGTTAATAAATTGCGTTTTATTTTATCCCAGACATTATCAATTAGATGTTGAAACAGACTGTTGAAGCACAAATTGTTATCGCTGTAGAATAAGATCAGAGAGATAACATAAAATACAAAGGCAAATGAATTTGATTTCCGTAAAGAGTAATTTATTTTAGTTGGTCTCACCTGCATTTGAGTTGGGCATTTTCCCCCCTCCGAACGGAACCTAGCTCGAGACTAGAACTGGAGGCATCGGAATCACTGTGAGCAGGGCTCGGCGGCGGGCCCCCATTTCCGAGTCCAACAACGGCAACGGCAGCGGCAGCAGCAGCAGGAGAGGGTATTCCGAGGCCGGGCAAAGCGACGACGCTCGTAGAATTTGGCAGCAGTTCCTCCTCCGTCGGCATCCTTCGAGGCCAAACCGGAAGGTTTAGCGATCCCTGCCGTTGCTGTTGGTGGAGCTGGTGATGCTGCTGGTGGTGATGGTGTTGCTGCTGGCTCAGGCTCCCGTAGTCGTAGTAACTCGAGTTGGAGTAACCGGAAACCGGGTTGTAAAAACTCGGTATCGCTCCTAGCAGGGTGCCAGGATAACGAGCGGCACCGTAGGGACCAACGTGGCTTGGCATTCTGCCCGGAACGTAAACGATCATTTTTTTACCCTTTTCTTTTTTCCCCTTTGCTTCCTTTTAAAGAAGAAAACCTCGTCGGATCTACCCAAAGACGTGCAGATTTTGGTTTTAATTGCTGCTTCGATCGAAGATCTGTTTCGGTAAAAAAAAAAAATGCAGCTTCTTCTTCCCAGTAATCCCTCCCTTTTTCCTAACTTTAACTTCGATCCTTAAGTGCAAAAAAATGCAAAAATCTCAACTATAGCTTACGTACAAGACTTAATTAATCTTATAAGAGAGGAAGGTATCTGGAAATGATCAACAGCAAGACAACTCTTGGCACCAATTCTTTCCTTAACTTTGAACAATTTAACGAATCGATAGTATTCCTTATTCCCTCCAAAATTTCTCTTACCAACGACAATTTTGTTCTCAGAATTGATTTAATCGTCAAGGAAATCGATCGATCGATCTTCCTTCCATCGAACGACCACCACAACAAGACTTTTCAGGTCTTGCTGATTATCGATAGAACGAACCCTTGATTTCTGAGCTAACCGTATAAAACGCCAAGTCGTGTTGCCGGTATTAAATGAAATACACACACGCACTACTCGCCACTCTTTCTCAGCTTTTCGCACCCCCCTTTTTTTAGCACTTAGTCCGAGTCCGTATCGTCAGATGTATTTGAACCGGTTCGACTTGAGTATACGGTAGCTCAGGAATTGTTTGCTGTATTCGATTGAGAACATAACGATGCTGGCAACTGACGTCGGTCGTCGATCGGTTAAACGTGGCCGTGGCAAAAGATCTTTTCGACTAATCCACGTGATTCCTTTTTTTTGATCTGTTCCCTTGTCTAATTAAACGAAATTGTAAACCGATTCCAATCGGTGCTAAGATAACGAGACTTTCATCTTTCCTTTTTCACTATTAGGATACAGTCAACCGAAGAGATATTCTTCAACGCTTATCTCAGATATTTTTTATTTCTAATCAACGCGGCAATAGAACCGGAGTAGATCGATGCTTTTTTTTATCAGACAATAATTTCAACACGACACATAAGAAGAATCTTTGAAAACTGGTGTCTCCGGGGAACGAAGAAGCTTTATATATTAGCCAGCTATCGTCTTTGATGCCCCCACTTTCTAGTTTATTCCGTTGACGATGACGATGACGACGACGACGAACGATAACAGACTCACTTAAGAAAAGAACGAGAAGGAGACAGCCTGTAATGTATCGTGAACTCATAGACGTCTCTGCTGGTGCCGCCGCTGCTGACATACATCATAAAACGAGACAGTGTCGCAAAGGATGGATGAACGTTCGAACGATCTTTCATTAGTGGTCAATCCAAATTCGATCATATACAAAACTTGACTCAACAAATGTATCGATGAGATACACGGGAATTAACAATAATAGAAACTATTCTACTTTGAATCTTTCGAGGATCGAGATTAAGATCGATCGCTTATCAGTTTTTACAACGAAACAATTCCACCAACGGCGAAATTTTTTTTCTTTGAACTCGAGGAAAATGATCTTATCGAAATTTTCGATGAAGTCGTACGTTCTTGATGATCGTTTGATCCGTGATACACTTGGAACCCTGATAGCTTTGATTTTAGAGCAAAAGGGGCATGGGGGGAAGCCAAAAATAATCTTCTTATTATGCTTTTTATTTCTTTTGCACACACATAATACACATTTTGCTCTATCCATCGTAAAGGTATTTTAAAGAAAGAGAAAATTGTTTCTGAATTGACGAATAAGTGTAAATAATATAGGGAGAAAATGAATAGAAAGCAACATACATTCGTACGAAATACATTTGAAATTATATTTTAATTAAGCTTATCGTTTATTATCATCGTCTAGTTGTTACTTTTTAGAGGAACAAAAAAAATGATATCTCGTTTCGATTAGTTTGAGACTTTAGTATTTATTAATATTATTATTTATATCAATAATAACTCTGAAAAAAAATCAAATAAGAGAGTATATATTAATCAATTTATTTCGTTTCTCAGCAAAGAATTAGAATTATTTGTATCTGTATTGGTCCAAAAAGGGGGGGTCCTTGAAATTATTCATTTATTACTTGGAAGCCCACGAAGCTGTCGCGTGACACGTTGCTTGCTTCTCGACTTCGTAAAACTCGACAAACAATGATCCATCCACTCGTCCATTCGTTATTTCAACATCGCGACTGTCGATTGTTAGATACGTATACTATTCGATCGTTAAGACAGTGTTAATTTGTAGAGAGGGAGAAAGAGAGAAGAAGAAGAAGAGAGATATAGGTGATATTTGATTGGTTAGTAAACATTAAAGATGTACAACCGCAGTGATGTGCATCGTCACGACTATGCGCGTCACCTCCTATTCGGTTCTCAATAATTGATCTTTTCCGTTGGAATTTTTTTACTTAATACTTTGCAACTATATTTATTAACTATATTTATTATTCTATCAAAATAGTAGAATAGACTGTTTTCTCTTTAGACTATTTAACGAGTTAGTGTAGCACAGTAATTTGTTTCATTGATGAATATTATTAGGTTCTTCGGAAAGTAATTTCGTTTTTGTCTTATAATTATTAATTAATTAATAAAAAAATAAAGACAAACGAAATTACTTTCCGAACAACCCAATATATAAATTTCATTAAATATCGCTCTACGTGCTGTGTTATTTTTTTTTTTTTTATTAATTTTTCCTTATTTCGTATAAACACTGAGCCGGTTTTAGATTTATTCGCAAGAACCACCATCGGTTTAAAGGCGTAATAGAGCATTGAAGTCCCTTCGTGAAATGACAGAGGAAAAATAAATAAAAGAGAGGAACAACTTCGTGATCTGTGAAAAAATCTTTCCTACGTAATGCACTTTGGTCGATAGATTATTTCTCGATCGACAAATCGAGCAGATCGAAAGAGAAGGAAGTCGTCTCAGGAACGTACAATGTGTACATATATGATATTTTTCGTAGATAACAAAGTATATTTTTCTTGTACCGTACGTACGTGAATGTTCTTATTTGTGTTTTACGTCTGTGACATACTTTGCATAAATCAGTACTATTCTACGCATACATATATATGTACAATTTATAATAATATCATATATTTTTGTTGATATTATATTATATTTAACGTTAAATTTCAATTGTATAATTATTGAGAGAAGTTTTTTCAATTTCAAAACAATTTTTAATATTATACATATAGTAGTATATACAATACAATTCCATTGGTTTCACAAAATTATTTGCATCTACACAAGATATAATCAAAATACGATTATTATTTTTATAATTAGTATTTTGATTGGCTCTTCTTTGAATCTTATAATGCTTTCGAAACGATTGAGCATATTTTGTAGGATCAATTTAAAGAATTTGAAAATATATCAATATTTCATAATATATACAGAAGTATATATATATATATATAATACATACGTTTAAATTTTCGTGCTTTAAATCGAATTGAAATCGACAGAGATAGAATAATATCACATACAAAAACATTGTTATTTTCTTACTTTCTTTTTTTTTTTTTTTTTAATTCGAGACACTAACAAGCAAGAGACAATCTAATCTCGTAGACTTCGTTCGTTCGATTTACCAACGCAACATAATTAACAACGTAGTAAACAAGGTAGGAACAATGGTTAATCAAAATACACCTGTTGCTATCGTTCTCAGTGATTCTCAAGTTTTCTAATCAAATTTCATAAAATTCATTGAATAATTGTATTATTCCGAACATTGTTCAAAACGTTATTGTTATTTGCAATTAAGCATCAACAACTAATTAACAAATAAGTCCGTGACTCCGCGATTGTCCACGACGAATTCAAGACCATGAAATGCGAAAAGAAGAAAAAAGAAAAAAAGTGCTAAGCAAAGCAAGCACACATTTATTCTTCAAGGAGAGAACATATCACGAAGTTATCGTTCTGCCACTTTGATAACGTCATCGGGGGGGGTCTGCCGCTTATATTAGTTCAAATGAGATAACCGGATAAAGCATGAATTTCACGATTTCTGTCTGTTTTTTTTATTCTTTTTTAGTGTTTCTTTTTACATTTTTCTATTTAATCAAAATTATCATATAATTTTTACATCTGTATCTTCGTGCTCATATACCGAATGGTTATAAGAAATAATTATTCGAGTTACGCAAACCAAATTGTGGATAATTTATATTTCCTTTTATTTTTTTGTTAATATTGTTCAGTGTAATTGAAGTATCCATATATGGAAAATGATATTTATTAGATTTGGAAGGTTGAAATTAGGTCAGCATTATCTACGAGTTAGTTATTGGTGTCGAATGAGAGAAAAATAAGAAGAGAACGACAAAAAAAGAAAAAAAAGAAAAATTGTAGAAGAAGAGAAAAGAAGTGGGGTGAGAAATTTAGTTAGGACAAGACGTCGACGGCAGATGCTAAACGACAGATAGACGACGTTAATAAATGGAGAATAGCTCACGCTGCTTTGTCTCTAGATCTGAACCGAAGAACACCACGTCAGAGTAACTTTGCCTTTCCCGTAAATGATCGGTATCATCTTCACGATCTCGATTCAAAAAGATCTTCAAAGGAAAAGAAAAAATGTAAAAAACTAAAAAACGATAGAGAGAGAGAGAGAGAGAGAGAGAGAGAGAGAGAGAGAGAGAGAGAGAGAATCCCTTTGACGAGAACCGTACGAACCCGACGAACTCTTCACTTGGCTAATTCGGCTATTTTTCCTAATCGATAATCATAAAATCATTCTCGTCGTAGATTTTATCTGATTTATCTGCTGGGCCACAACACGACGCGACGTAGGGATGATTAAAAAATACTAATTAAAGATTTGAGAAGTACAAAAGACGTTTGTTATTTATTATCTGGGTTCTGTTAAAAAGTTAGTGTACCCCCAACGTATTAATGAATTTGGTACACCGTTTGTAACTTTTCTATCTCTCTCTCTCTCGCTCGCTCTCTCTCTCGCTCGCTCTCTCTCTCGCACGCTCTTTCTCTCTCTCTCTCTCTCTCTCTCTCTCTCTCGCTCGTTCGTTCGCTTCTTTAGATTCTCTCTTTTCTTCGGCTCCCACCCTTCATCCTCGCATGACACCCCACGGACCGAACTGCCGGTGTCGGCGCTCTTTGATCCCGAGGATCGCGGTGAACAGGTAGAAGAGAGTCCAACGAAAGGATACAAAGAAACTAAGAGAGAGAGAAGGAGCGTGGGAGAGAAGGATAGAGAAGGAGATTCTACCGAGCAACAGCCAATCGGATGGCTTTCCCAAACTCTAAACTCGAGAAAATATGTTCGGAGTTTTTTTAAATTAAGATCTGACAGAGATAGCGCCATATTCTACTCTCTTCCCGAGATTTTACTTCTCTCTTCCTTACTACCAACCACCACCCTTTAGATCGTTCATTTAGATTTCATTCGAGTATTCCCTTACCTTCCCTCCGCAACTGTGCTTCCTCGTTATTGTCAAGAACTTTTTTGACTGAAGGAAGAGAGAAGATTTTTCGGCGTTTTAATACTTCTTATATTTTTTTTTCCTTTCTTTTTTCCAATATCGTAAAATAGAGATAACCGAAATTATTTTCATTTTGATGTGTCGTACAGTAGGAAAGAAATATATAATATAATATATCGTAGATCGCGCGTGGCACCTTAGCGTGTGGTTCTGATTATAAAAATACCCTGAGAAAAGGGTTGTACACGTAAGAAATTGAAGTTTTTCTCTTTTCTACTCAACTCTACTTTTTGTTTTGTTTTTTTTTTCTACACGCAGCAGGGGTTGAAATTCCCGCGTCCAGTGCAGTCTCCTTAGTGTGTACTTTTTATTTGGTTGCACCGTTGGTGGTCTAACGACGAGTGTCTGCTCTTTTTTTCCCTTCTTCTCTCAAGATCCTTGAATCCTACACTCCTGAAAGCTGCGATTTCGAATTTCGAGTGTCGTGAGAGTGAACGTTTTTCTTATTTTGTCAAAGTTTAATGCTGCTGCTTTGTTTTTTCTTTTTGTTTTCTTTTTAACCAATGGAGATTAAAAAGAAAC